CATTTTGGTTCAGAAATGTGACAGGAGCTAATGGGAGACAGGCAGGACACTTATTGTCCCTTTGATAACAAGCTCTTCCTTTCAACCATTTCATGTGAGGTCGGAATTAAATCATAGAACACAGTTGAATCAATACACATACGCTATGTGATGTGAATAGCCTCCGATGCATAACTGCTAAGAAAGAAGGGCTGTGAGCAAGAATAACCGATGACATGACCGTCTCAGTGAGGTGAAGGAAAAGGGCAGGCTGATAAACGGCATAAGAATAAGAACTGAGGAGGAAGTTGGTACCATTGCATTAAAAAATAAAGACAGAATGAAATATTTTTCATTGCGCTGGCTAGAGTCACGATGTTGTCAGAGAACAGGGGTGGATTGGGCCTCTGTCACTCTGTAACTTGTATTGATCACATTGCTGTGTATAATCACCAGCCGTCTAACTTTCCTCCACCTCTTCCACCTCCACCTCTTCATTCCTGCTCAGCCTATACTGCTGCATTAATCCCAATCTGCGATGGCTGCCGTAGCGCATATTGCATTAGCTACTGAGTGATCAAATTAGGCAACAGCACGCTTACCCGCCTCCGCAATCAGTGGCACTTTCCGATAGAGACAACTACACGCTTACAATCAATTTGCTACTCTTATCTAATCAAGCAGCTCACACGCATCTCTGAGCTTATTTTTTGCACGCTTGGTGACATAGAAAACATGCGCTATGCACAGCATAACATGCCTCCACAAGCACACACACGCCCACATACGAATGCAAGCAAGTACATGCATAAGAGCCTTTTTTTCTCAAACATTCACATCCACACATCTCTTCATGGACATGTTGCAATTCATTCAGAAATAAACAAATTAGCCTCCTGCCTCTGCCAGGAGCGCACTGCTTTCTTGTCAGGAGTTGGTTAAGATGTAAAGCAGTACGAAGGGAGCAGGCAAAAGATGATGTGTGACACAGACTCTTAATCAAAACCATTCATCACCCAAGCAGCTTCACAACCAGGTTGGAAGTGAGAAGAGCTTCACATCGGAACAGGCACTGAACACACCATTATGCTGATTACTGTCGGATGACAAAGTAACTTCAGTGAACAGTGGTCCTCCACCCCAATCCTTGTATATACTTTACAGTAAATTATTTCATGATTTTTTTTAATAAATATGAATTAGTTAGAACTGCTGTGTAACCGGACGTCATTGACTGATGCTTAAGGCTTATCGTTTCCTTTTTTTAACAAGTTTTCACGGTTCGTTGAAAAAGAATTTCATACTGCAGTTAAAAAGACCAATTTATTGTAATTGGAAAAGGCATAAATCATCTCATTTTTAAAATTTTGACTTTCACCCAGATGTCATTCCAACCAATTAAATTCTCCTCAATGCACAGTTGTATCTTCAAATTGAAAGTAAAGAGCCCTATTACCATGCTGAAAGATCTGACTTTGATCTCTAATCAGAGCAAATACTCAACCACATGGATCGACAACAGTCATCCCACAGGGAGAGAGTAAACAAAATCAATATTTGCACCCGTGAAGCATTTCTCCAGGCTTTGCAGTACAAACCACTGATGTCTCATCTCTTTTAATGAGGGATGGCTCAGCAGGCATCTGTTACACATTGTTCCCACTGCAGCTTGCTGAAATGTCACATACAGCAAGTGTGCAGTCCGCAAAAAGATGCAAGAAGGTGCTGAATTAGAACAGAACATTTCCGTACATGGAGTTGTTTCCCATGTGGTAAAAGTGCAGTAAGACTATTTGGCATAATTTGTCTGGATTTATTTCCTTAATCTTATAAAAGACGAAGTAAGGCAAAAAAAAGGTACAATTAATTTACACCAAATACCAATCATTCCTCTTTATAAAGTATGGAAATACATAAACTGAATGTGGAGTCAGCTTGAATGCAGTTTTAGCTACAGAACCAGTGGTGTTCACATGATAGTATAGTATGACAAAACACGAGAACATGTACTGGCTGCTGATGGGCAATTTTGCCTGCAAGTTCAGCTGCAAACAGGTTTTCCGTGTAGGCAAACATGTAAATGGGGCAAATGCGATCACCCAGCTATCTTTCCAGAGTTGCGTAGGATGAAATGAGTTCTGGCTACTAGTATTTGAAATAGTTCCCGAAATGCAGGATGAAATGTGACCCTGCTTGGGTCACTCTGCACTTTCTATGAAGAGTATGCATGTTCTCCGTGTGTCCGTAGGAGTTTCCCCCAGCTGCGAGATTTCTCAAAAGGAAAAAGGCATTTTAAATATAACTGGATACTCTAAATTGTCCGTGAATGCAAGTGTGAATGTGTTGGTCTAGACGCGTGTTGGCGGTGCGATTAACTGGTGACCTGCCCAGGCAGCGTTGTTCCTCTCACCTAAGTGTTGCACCTACAGTCGTTCACTCGCAGCAATTAGACTAACTTTCATTTTTAGCACAACATCAAACGCTTGTGCATAATATTGTCTCATTTATCCCTATTTGCCTGCAGTCATGCTGACATTCACACTGTGTCGTCACAGTGGGATCCCCATATACGTTTCACTTCTGCTCCATTCATTTGCTGCTATGAGCTAATGTTAAAGTGCTCTCCCCACAGGAGAATCAGCCGATCACTCATGCGTGTGTGTTTGTGTGTGTGTGTGTGTGTGTGTCTGTGAGTGAGTGCACACCTCCGTGTCTGTCCGGGGCTAATCTCGTATTCTGCTACAGTAAAAAGCATATTATTTATGGTGACAGAACTTCTTGGTGGATATGAATTTAGTTTTTTTGCAAGATATATACTGAGTGCACCTTTCTATTTCTTACTGATACTTAATATCTCAACAATGGCAAGAAGTCCTTAAGAACACAGATATGATTCAAAACACACACCTATAAAATGTGAGTGAGGATGAGAGTCCGATGTAAACGCTTTCTTAATTAAAAGGTTTTGGACAAACTGCTCTCTGAAGCATCCAACACAGACTCCCCATCAGTGGCTGCTCAACAAGGCCCAATACAGCATTCATTAAAGGCTTAAATTACCATGGCATGTTGGACTGCCAACTCCAGAACCCTCATTGAAAAATCAATATGACTTACATAGATGGAAGCATTTTTCAGGGCAGGTAGTGTTGCAGCAGCGCTACCACTTTGGAAAATCCGTCGGCCAGAGAGGGGAACATGATCCGAAAACACAAATTGGGTCATAAAGTTCAACAAACACCATTATGGGTCAAACACTGAAGATATGTCCCCTGGTGTCACGATAACAAATGTTGTCAAAATGTATTTTGGTAGGACTTCTAATCCATTAAATGGAATAGCAAGGATGATGACATTTCTTTTGCCAGAGAGGCAACAAGAATGGACAATAGGTTAAAAAACATTGGATTGTGAAGCCACCTGAAAAGAACCAGGTAGCAGAGATTTCACAATTACTCTCACATGAGACAACACGTGCATCTACAGCAAGACCTTCACGTAGTATAATCATAGTAAGAAAGTCTGAATTAAAGCAAATGTCAAACAGATGGAACATAAAAACTAAATAAAAGAGAGCGTAACCACGGCATCGCTGTTGGACAAGTTGCGTTTAAACAGCATCTAGCATAGTGATACCAGACTATTACCACTTTGGCCACATAAACGCAGCACGCCCTGTCTCCCCACATAATATACTGCTGCTACAGAAGTGGCCAAAGGCTTGAGTGTGTCCGTGTGGCCTGTTTATATAAGCCAAGCATCTTAGTATGCAGCCATTGTAGAACAAACAGACACAGAGAGAGAGGTCTGCAGCATAACATCCATAAAATCAGGGGACAGACAAGCGTTTTAGGAAATGTCAACAGCTGATCTGTTTTGACACCTCTACTCTTCCTCTTCTCCTGTCGCTCTACAAGCCGAGGGGTTCTGGATTAGCTGTCCTGTGTTCCACCCATAAGGGTCTCTCTCAGCAATCTGGCATCTATTTAATATTTGTTCACCACCAGTGGCGAGGCGGTGTGGCCTTTACACTGCGGGACCGACAGAGAGGCCGGATGACTGATAGAAGGAACTGGATTCATGTGCTACGCAATGCGCTTCTGACCTCGGGGTCACGTCCAGGCGTAAAATAGAGATTGAGGCTTTTTAATCAGTTGTGGGTAAATCTAGAGAAGTGATGATCGGGGCTGTGGAGCAGACTTGGGGAGGATGAAAAGCACAGCGAGGCAGATTTTCTCCTCGGCTCGCATACGCATTCACGCAGGATCGCTTTGTTGTTCTGAGATGACGCTGCTGGGGCATCTGCAACTTTTTCATAAAGCAGACATAACTGCTAAAGCAGGGATAACATACAGCACACAGATGCTCTCGGATTACCTTTCAAAAACAAATCAATACGCAAAACAATAACGTTAGCGAGTGCGAATGTTTGAGACCAGAACCCATCCCGCCCTGACCCAGGCTTATTTTCTAAGTAGAGCCCTGAGCGAAATGCAACGTTTTACCACCTCAGTGGTGAACTAAGTAATTGAAGATTGATGAAATAATGTGCTCCATCCGATAAGGACCATATGGCTCAGGAACGGGCCCACTGGGTCCTGGCAGTGGTATGGAAATAAGGCATAATAGGTTGTAGGTACATTAAATTAACTTTTAAGAGACAGTTATATCTGATGTTGCTCCACGGACTGCTCTTTGAGATGTGCGCAGAGCGTCCTGCTTCACAGACCTGCTGTAAGTAAACCTTCATAAAACCCACGTTTCCACTATTCTCTTACTTCGAACGGATGATATTACGACGTAGCCCAAAGTTACTGTGGAGAACTGCTTCTCACATGCTTTTAACTGTTTGTAAAGGCCACGGTGTTCTTACCAGCTTAGTCCATCAAATCAATAAACCCTATTGACTCAATGACACACGCACACAATTTTGGGAGAACTGGTGTGTAAAGGTAATAGTACAAACTCCAGCTGCCAGTCTCCGTCCAGATGAAAGAGGCCAGGTCCACACATTCAAAATATTGGTTGCCAGGTGAGAGCACCATTTTTAATCTCATAAAGAAAAGGACAGTGCGGAAAAGCAAGGTCACATAGTGCATTACACATCACAGGCACAGCAGAAAAACATATTTTGAATAAACTAACATTTCAAGGACAACTTAAAGCCTTCACATGAACTCCTAACAGCAAAATAACAGGATGCAAAACTTGTGGTTTTCTATCAAAAAACACAAATACAGTGTGCCTTGGTGACAATATTGCCATGGAAACACTTATTCCATCAATAGGTGAGGCTGAGTGGTTCAGAAAAATGTGAGAGGGCGATTTAACAGCAAGCCAAATGCGAACAGCGTGCGCACACACAGAGGAGCAGGCGGACTGAAATACAGACAGGTCCCACAAGGTAAAAACGCTACCTGTCAGAGTGAGCACAGTCTAATTTGCACCATGGTGTTTGATGCACAGCTGGAGTTTCAGAGGGGGAGAATATCCCAAAGCTGGAAGGGAATCAGGGATCAATGGAGACACCACAAATGCTGTTACGGCAGAAGAAAGAATCTTTTAGATCCTTTCATCAAGTAGTACCACAATGCAAAAGTACACATTAAACAGCAGAGAAAGAAGTAAAACGTCAGTACCTGGGAATTGTACTTAAATGACAGTAATCCTGCATCATAACGATAGTCAATTATGGAATCCTTATGATGCAAGTACTCTTCTAAGACATACGTAGGTTAAGCAGTGAAGGAAAAGGCTCTTGGCGAAACACCGTTCTTAGAGCTCAAACAGGAAAGCCAACAGGAGATTTGGGAAGGAGCCCAGTACGTACACAAAGCTTCCGCACATCGAGCTCCACTTGCTCGTAGGAAAGAAAACCAAAAAATGTATGAAACTTATTGGTGAGCATCATTGGTGTCTCAATCTTGTCCATCTGATGCCTAGTAATTCCTCCGCACACCGTCAAGTTAGTGAGACGGGATAACAAGGCATATTAATTGTAAACACCCGATATGAAGAATTAAAGGCCAGGGGCTTCTTCCACCTCTGGACTGCAGATATTTTGTTACGTAAAGGTTATCATTGTTCCAAAAAGCGTCGACCAATATAAAATGTAATTGAGGGAACAATGCGGTGGGATGACAGCATTAATAATAAAGGGCGACTTATCTCGCTCTGACCACAAACTCCATTTAAAAGCACACCGACACGAGCACACAAAGACGAGACGGGCTGGTGCCTCCTCCGACTCGCATTTTCACAGAGCTCCCGAGCAATCAGCCACACAGACGCATGCTCGCTCCCAAGCTCACACTTCGCTTATTGACTCTCATGGTGCTTTGATGCCATCGCAGCCACAACCCCTGCCATCCTGCAGCATCCCACGCAGAAATCGCTGAACAGAGAGCAGTTAAGGCAATCTGCGCCCCGAGCCCGGGAGGCATTAAAGATGTAGACTCCTGTCACGCCCCCTCCCCTCTGCCTCCATTTCCCTCTGGGCTGGTTTAAAGTTCTCATTGCCTTGAAAAAGCCATAAGATTCAGCCTGGAACGGTGTAAAAACCTCAACCTGCGGAAGGCGGCGTGGACCAATAATGCTGCAGGATCAGGATCTGTGACCTCGAGCCTACGGGGAGAAAGAATACGGGGGCCTCATGACGGTTGACGTCATAAAATAAGATGATTATAATGTTATGCATGCATTATACCAGTTGTTTGTGCCCCCCCCCCCCCCCCATCCACCACCACCATAGGGTGCAGATGTCTTCTTTGAGTTCATTGATACCCGTAAAGCGCACAAGTATGAGCTTCACTCTTCATACAGAGTTCCATACAATGGCCCTTTAACTAAAAATGATGCAAGTGCAATTGTTCTGAACCAAACTATTACTCATTATTTTAAGCAAGACTTATTTTTAGAGCGTGCAATAGCGGATCATATGCTCACATGCTTTGACCTCTTTCCTATGTCAAAATCTTTCCCATTAACTGTCTCTTGCTTAGTCACCTCGTCGAGCCTCCTTCCATGATAATTAGGAAAGGAAAGCCTATTAGCATGTTACATAATCATGTACTTTGTACAATGAGACAGGTGGAAGAGGGGGGCTGGGAGAATGCAACAGAATCTCTGAACAATGCCTCATATAATCCTGAATAGATAATCAGATACCCATGTAGAACTATTCTAAAGGAATCTGTGGGTGGAGTATCAAAATGTTACAGAACAAAGACAAAGTTTTTATCTGCATAAAAGTTCCTTAGACCCATACCTGAACTCAGCTGTCAGCTAGTTGACGGCGGAGGAGCCGCAATGTTGGGCTGGTGTTCAGGAATGCTGGGATGTGAGACAGTGAGTGGGCTGATTCCTTCTGCTGACTTTGCAAGGAAAATAATTGGCTTTATATCCAAGAAATTATTCTGAATTCTTTTTTTTAAATGTTCTGTGAGTTTGAGTTTAAGTAGAGGCCCACACACAACACTGTGCTACAATGGAGGGGGGGGGGGGGGGTAGAAGTAGTTGTCTTATGGAAGAATCCTGAGTCTCCCTTCATTCTCCTGCTGGTTGACTGACGCGTGCAGTTTATCAGCTGAACACACATGGTGCAAGACACAAAGACAGGAAGGCAAAGAATACAAAATATACCTAATGCATTAGAAACCAAGGCGTTTCTGATTCACTGACAGTGAACACGAATGACTGCCGAGGAGAAGCCGAACAATGCAGTTCCATAGATCACAATTCGTTTCAGAGTTTCCAACCCGACCGAAGGGTTTCTCAGTTGTTGTTTCCTCAGTGGAAGCTGGAATCAGCTCAGTTCCCCTGGATGACCCATAATCAGGCCATTGCATTATAGACACTGTGGACAAGCAAAGCATATTTTCTACATTTAAATTCAACAGTCAAAGAAATTTGAGAATAGCGGCTGGTGAATAACCCACCGGGAGGCCGGTGAGGAATCCTACAGTTGCAGTGGTGAAGCGTTAAGATGTTCTTTACTGAAAAACATAGTTGAGACCAAAGCTCAACTCACTGCAGTCAGAAGGAGACAAATGCAACAATTTCACAGATCTTAAACTATATATAGCCAGGAATTCCCACCGCTTTAGGCGCATGACGCACTTGACACTAAATATATTATTGAGTGCGTAAAAAAAATGATTTATATTTTAATGAAAAGATTTATTATAGATTTATAGCTACTTATAGCTATAGATTTATAGATTATTTATAAGTGAGGGCATTATCAACAATTGATTAAAGTGGTATTTTATTTGGACATGGAGGTGCATCTTTATTACAATGATAGATTCAGTATATCTATCGTATCTGTCATGAACCGGGTATCCTCCTTTTCCTTTCCAACCCTTTCTTCACTTACACACACACACACACACACACACACTTAGACCTGCTCATTCATTCCCAGCTGCTTCTCATCTCGTCATCCTCTCTTCCCCTCACCTGTTCCTACCTTCTGCAATTAGACTCTCTATTTCTAGCCTGCCTCTTCCCCTTGTTCTCTGCCAGAGTATTGACTATGCACCCGACGTACCTGCTGCCTCGTTTCTCCTGCTGTGTCGTGTGCTAACGGTTCGTGCCTTACGGTGTGGCCCGAGTCCAAACCTCTGTTCCACCCAGCCTCCCGTTTGACGTGGGCGGCCTGCTGTCTGGAGTGCTTTTCCCTCGCCCTGGAGCTCGTTCCCTGCACTCTCCGGAATTCCCCGTCGCCGGCCAAGCGCCCGCGCCTCTTCTGTTAAGCCTTTAGGGCCATTTTGTTTGTGAGACCACCTTGTGGCTACCTTAGTTCCTTTTTGCCTTGGACATTCTAAGTTGATTAAAACAGACCTTACCTGCCCTTGCGTTTGGGTCCTCTCTCCTCCACCCACACAACAGTATCGCACGATATAGTGCGATACACATCACTATATCATCAGTGCGATACAATATGTTTCTGATTCCAGTGACACACTCGTCATTGAGAGATTTCTGTCTCTATAATGTCATTATAAAACAGAAGCAGAAATGTTTGTATAATACAATATTAGTCTCGCTGTCTCGATGCAATTGCTGGTATGTTTACAGTCTGGTAAATAAAATGAGATTGTCGTGAGAAAATAAAAAAGGAATAAATACATTTTGATCAGTAAATGTTGGGTTCTCCAGATGGCACCTTCTCTACATACTTGAAATTGCTGCACCCTAAACCGAACTGTTCCTCACAGTGACACCTTCAGCTTCACCGGTCGGATATTGGTGAAAAAAAAACACTTTAGAACTGAAATTGTTGTTCCGGTTCATTTAAAGAGACTAAATTGAGAAAAACACAAGCATTCTCCCTACATAGTTAAGTTCTTCCAATTCTACATTTGTGAGCTGAAACTGGTGCTGTATTGGCTGCACAACTTAGGTTTCCTCCTCCTGAAATAACACAATATGAGAAACATTACAGGACAACAATTAGTATTTCCTAGTCTTGCAATTGTGGAATGCCCCAGAGGCAACAAACCCAAGATACTCTAGGGGGGTTTGTAGACCTACATATAGTATAGAGGGAAATGGGGGGGGGGGGGATAATGATGCTTTTGTGATGCTTTGAGCTTTTTCAGATAACTGGATTACTAAATGGATGGAAGCTATCGGTTTTTCATCTGGTTTGTGCTCACAGTGGCTACAATAACACCCACAATGAGTGTTTGCTCTAATTCTTTAGGTCCTGAAAAGGTGGCTTGACAATGATCCAACGGGGCCAAATCCTTTAATATAGCGTGAAAGCTACTTCTTTATCCTTTTATTGTTTCTTCTTTTACCACAGGGCTTTTAACTAGGATATGACACAGTCCCAATCATCCTGCGCTCAGTTGCATTCACCCTGTGTTCATATGTATATTTACATGAATACACACCTGCTGAGCTCAAATTACAAAGATTCCAACATTCTGATCCCACAAATTTGATGATACACTCTGATTATTAACAGAAGATCAAAAACATCAGGGTTAAACACCCTACTTCTAGTTTGGATATTTTAAGCCACATTTAGATCTCCTGTGTGTTTGTGTATGTGTGAATTAGTTATATGTGTCGCACACAGATAATGCAAGGAAAGCTGGTGTGGAGACGACGCTGTTGGGCTGGAAAAAAGGGGCAGCTGTGCACTTAACCTTCTCTTTGATAAGAGCTGGGGGACGTACGGGACGTGTAGCCGAGACTCTGAGGAAACACTCCGGAAGCTGAGTCGGGCCGACTGACCCCCACCGCACCAGTCTGCCACTGGTTCGCTATATTTGGCCTTAAACTTCAAAGCTGGAAAGGTGTCTGAATCAGTACTTTTGTACGAGCCACTAGTCGAATGCCTGAATGGTGTTTCGGTGGCAAACCCCCAAATAATGAATCTCCACCTCCATAGTCGGGTCAAACACTGATGGTCTGACTGGTGATGTGTTGCATTTTAGCGCGTTTCAGCAAGTCATTTTCATAAAATATTGCACATGTTCCATTTACGTGTTTGTGAACAGATAAGATTGTCAGTAGATTCTTTCAAATCTACTGGAAATACAGTAGATACAGAGCACAGAGGTACGTCACAAGTGTCTCTGCGTTCAGAGTCCATCAGACCACAAACCTACTCAATTAATCATACAAACAGTATATGGGCACACATTTCTAGCACATTCGTATACCGCCCTCAAACCAAGGCTCTCTAAAGCGTGCTCCATTATTCATCGTCCTCACTGCATACTTGCCTCGCCCCCCCCCCCCAACCAATGACAGGATGTTGGTGTGTTAGTGGCCCATCTTCTGTACAGCAGCGGCTCCTTAACAATCTGTCATAGAACCCAGGTCCATCGACGGACTGTGACTTCTTCCTCAAGTGGGAAGGAGTAAAAACTGATGACATCAGCAAGTTTGACCGACTACAAACTGACGGAGCTGCGCTCCCACAAAAGACACTTAAACTGGCCGTGATTATGCGACAACACAGGCGCCTGAAAGGGAATACTACGTTTTAATACTGAAGGAAACTACTTTTTGTGCACTCTGATCTTTTAGTCCGTGTCAGTGCACACGTTTTCCCTGCCCTCCGTCGGGTGTTGCAGTGTGCAGAGCGGCGCAGAGACAACAATGGAAAGAAAAGATGAGGCGGCTGGGGAATAATGATAATCTGACCAGACAGTCGTTCTTTAATGAGAACAATCTTTGATATCAGGACTGATAACATTTCTGCGTTGCAATGAGATAAAAGGTGGTGATTTGGGTGAAACGCCCTCAGTGCAGGTGAAAAGAGGCAGCTGGTGACTGGATGTATGAAAAGGTAAACATGGCAGCCTACAATAAGGCAAGTTAGCCAGTCGAAATCTGGAGACATTAGAAAGTGTTGAGGTACATTTTGTAGCAATATGTTTTGGCTTTTATATGCTGGCGGAGCAGCAAACTGTCAATGAGCTATAATATCATCCGCATGCTCGGCAACATGGCCTCCTGTACCTTCCTGTGCTGAAGACAACAGAACAACGGACGGACTAGTCATCGTCGGAGTGAACACTAGGACTGTTCTTATGGAACAATATGCTGATAATTCATTGGGTTTGTGGAGGCAATTCAAACACTGCAGTTTGCTCAGACATTTGAGAGTAATCTCAATGAATCTGAGCACTTATGGAACACTCCTGCCAGCTTTATGAGCACCTTGCCTCAGATTTCTATGAATATGAGAAAGAGAAGCTCCACTCCTAAAAGGCAAAAGGCGAGAAAAATCCATCACAATTTCTAGACATAATAGGACATTTTATGACTGGGAGAAGGTAGGTTTTGCCGGTAGTGAAGAGACAGAAGCTTGAACAAACAGATGGACAGATGTGCGTGCACACACGGAGCATTATTCATGCAGTGGGATGCCCCCAAAATGAATCCATATGTGTAAATGTCATCAGTAAATGTCAATAGCTTTTTGAGGCCTGTCCTGAGGACATGCGGTCCAGCATATGGGCCGTGGGACTTGGGCATACCTTCATTTCCTACTACTTCATCTATTCTTAATCTACTTTAAAGACCTCATCTGCTCATGTGATGAATTAAACAACACACGAGTGGGGGTCTTCTGACAAGCAGGAGGCAGAAAAGAGGACAGATATGCTCACAAGATGAAGGTCTCCCACTGGAATAACAGGAGGAGAAAATAAGAAACTTCCTTTCGTACTTTTGTGTAGGATGACATACACTTGTCTTTGTGGTAAAGGGTTAGGAAACAAGTAATCACAGATCCTAAATACCGTAAATGACTGCAGATTTGAAAATATCTCTAAATGTGTCGCCCCATTATTCTCATTTTGTCGGTACCTCAATGTAGGAGTAGAGCCTGGGGTAGACCCTGTAAGGCCCCACCACGTGAGACAGAGGGGTGGTGGAGGGGAAGCTGGTGGTCACGGCGTGGCTCACTTCCGGCAGAGAAAACACCTTGAAGCCAAACTTCTCATACATCTTCTGCAGTTCTTCATCGGGCTTCTCGTCGCCCTCACACAAGACACTCCCCACGACGTAGCGGCATTTCTCTGCTGGCCTCTGAGGGGACAGAGAGGTGGTGTAAATGAAACATCCACCTTCAAATCCACTTTGAACACTTCCGCTATTCATCGTGCTGCCATCAAACACAAGGAAAGTTAACGGCTTCTGTTGGGAGAACAATAATACATTTTAATGTAGCTTTATTGCATTAAATTCACATTTCTGTGGGATTAGATACAGATATACTAATTAACAGCATAAATCAAAACGTATAAAATTAGGGTTGTACACAAAGAAATGCAATTAGTTAAAATATATACATATAAAATAAATTATATACATAACATATACATATATATTAGACTGCAGGCCCGCTCCATCTGGGATTTGGACTATTGTATCGTTATGATTGACGCTTTCGTTTTCTGGTCGTTGGGAATGTTTTTCAATGAGGTGAGCAATTTGTTCTGACCCACCTGTCACTGTTTCGTAAACACATGTTTATCAAACTAACAGGACGATGTTACCTGTGTGTCACTAGTGCTGTGAAGGCTGCACGTGTGTGGAAGTAAAAACAGTTGTTTGACTTTAACTAGTAGAGACGTTGCACCTTCACATAGTTTGTGTGTCACTGAACACCGAGCTGCCAGCTCCTGTAAACATCTCACTCCAGATATCAACAGCCAGGTCACATATGTAGCAGTTAATATTGTATCTGTGGAGCAAAGCATGTTAATGTGCCTTAAATCACCGCTTCTTCTTACTCCCGGCAGAAGTAAAGATATTACGCAAATTGTTTTATTTAAAATGTTGCATTTTAATTAGGTAACTTCACATAAGAAGTTGACACAACCAGAAAATGAGGAAATATTGATGGATCTCAGCCCACTAAGAGAAAACTGTGTCAAGAGTACAGGCTACAAACTAACCATCATGGACTGTACAGTCCACAGTTATTAGCATAGTGACCGTACAGATAGCTAACGTAAACTTTGACACCTAAAGATTACAAAACAGTAATATTCATTTTAACAGAAGTTTACTTCAATCCTGTGTATATTCTTGCTGCTATTTATTAGCGGTTAGCTTCTGTCTTTCTTCTTTTTTTTAAAATAACGGATATGGACCCATTGTAGAGATTGAACGGTGCCCCCTACTGGTTTGGAGATGTGTTCAGATCTTACATGTTGCACTTAAATGTGCCCACATGTCTGCTGGCGGATGTGAAAGAGAATCTGACAGACATCTCCCACTCACACATGTTTGCATATCTGTCTGTAGAGCTTCGGCTGGAGAGTGGGAGCTGCTGTTAAAGGACTGCACAGGCTTTTGCATATTTTTGTCAATTTAATAAAGAATAAATCACCTACGTACACTTTTTCTCTTATATGGTTGTACTTGAGCAAGGACATGTTTGATAGTTTCCAAGCCAGGCATAGACAACATGTATAACAGGAATTAATTTAGACATGAGAAGTACCAATAATATTAATGATGATAAAAAAAGAATGCACCAGTTACATGCAGAAAAATATAATACAATATATATAATGGACCCCATTCATTTTTCCTTCTAATTGAGTTTTTTCTTAGCAGGTTATTTTTTGTTGGTCTTAAAACTGGGAACTAGTGGCAACATGGAAGGCAGGACAACTCTTAAAGTAAAAAAAAAAACCTACGATACGATCTGAACTAAACGAGATAAAACAGACAAAAACCCTGGTACGTTCCCTTGAGACTCGCTGCTGGTTTGTGCTCTGTGACACGGGGCGTCTGCGAATGGCTGGCACTGAGGGGACACAGATGGGAGTCGGCAACACTCATCTTCATGTCCCTGGCATCCTCGCACAATTATCACATCTAACCGCCACAGCCTTCTCTTCCCTTCCATCGCATTTCTCACATTCGGGGTTATTTTGACCGCATCCTGTTGCTACGGCACTTCACTCTTTCCAGGGTCCCACTTTGTTCATACAGCAGCCTTCGTGCCGTACGTGAGCTTAGTTTGGCGGCCAGTGAGTCTCCCTGGCTGAGATGAATCTATGCGAGCAGCCCAACCTAACCCTCCGTGCCTCCTAACGTCTGCATCATGTGGGTAATAATAATGACTGACAGTGCCTCTTGAGCATGAGCAGATAATCTTTGCTGTCACCTGACACGGCCCCTTGCAACCATGTTCAACAGAATGCACGGGTCACCTGCTTTTGACAGGGACTTATTCACTGAAGGCAACGGGAGAGACATACGATCTATTCGCAATGAAGCAATGACTCATTGTGAATACAGGCAGACACAATGGCCGTGTGAGCATTGTCGTTAGAGGCATGTGACAATGAAGATATATCTATTTTAACCGTGCCTCGTTGTTGTGGGTAAAGAAATAACTTCTCTATTTAGTAAGCAGACTCTGATTAATAATCCACATAGAGGACATTTTCAAAGAATGTTTTTAGGAACACGGGTATTCGGGTGTACAATAAGCTAGAACTTACCAAGACCACCGGAGCGACATAAAGCCGGTTTTGTTTTCCCTGTGAAGAGACATGAAGGTATTTTCCCACCTACAGTCTGCTGGATCCAGTGTGCATGCTGCATTAAGTGGAGCCTCACAAAACAAACAAGCTCTTGTTGGGACTCTAGCCATCACATCAAATGTAAATGTATTAAAAACACACACACACACACACACACACACACACGCGTACAAATCTATTAACCAAACTCAATCATAGAGAAGATCAGTTTTTCATCAGGTTCTTCTTGGGATCACACACAATTATGAAGAAAATAACACAACATGAACATATCATGAACATGTGATTCCCATTACATTAACATTAAATTATTAGCCAGCTTGTTATCCCATATTATACAATTTGACTCAAAACTTTTATTCTTGTCCTTTTTTTTACCTAAACGTCTTATACACACTGAGCGTGTTGGCTGCCAAACAGCCTCGTTTACAGAACTACTCCTTGTCAACACTGGTGCTCTATGATAAGACACAAAAGAATACCCATTCAAACACATAATATAACAACTGTCCACCCACGGCCTCGCTTCAGTGTCTCCCCATCTCGCCATTTCTCGTGCTCTCCGCACTGATAGACTACAGTGTGTCAGCCGAACCAGTAGTTCTCTAATGATATCATTCACATCCTACACAGTGGCAAGAACAAACAGCAGCCCCGACTGCATCTCATCTCTGCTTCCCTACAGATAACACCCCCCCCCCCCTCCCCTCCCTAGAGTATATGGGCAATTAGGAGGGAGAGGAACACCGCTATGTGCTTGACTTGTCTTGTCTTCCCCCATCCAAAGTTTTATTTGTATCTGAAATTCACCACAAATAAGGTGTAAATTCTCCGATGCTGCCCACGCTGGGCGGTCGAGCTCTAACAGTCAGCTGCTGCCAAAGCTGGACTTTGTGAGACCGGCGCGTGATTCCATTCCCCGCAGGTAGGCGAGGAGAGCAGACTGGGGCTTTTGATGGGCCCGGGTGAGAAGCAAAGATCCCGATAATAGGAAGACTGTGGAGGTTTTACCGTTGTAACGGTTTCTGTAGCGAGCTGCAGAAAACCCAATTCAGTAAACAGGGACTTGTAAACTCTGCTGAATGCGCATTCAATCTAGTTACAAGACACACAAAATTATTAATTAATATTTATCTGCTGATTTTATGTGCGACAAACAATAATTTCCTATATCTCCCTATAAGTAAGCCTGTTAAATTGGGAGGGACAAATATAAAGCCAACTTCTGTTGTGGCCCGTGGGACCCTAAAACGGCTTCCCATCACAAATGGTTCTGTTCCCCTGAGACGGGTCTCCAGGGACCTGTTGGGAAATAACGTAATTTCAAAAGCAATTCTTTGCTTGAGGCTTCAGGGACCTTTTTTGATGGATGAGAGCACTCCAACAATAAAAAAGGTATAGCTGACAGTGGTAATTCCTTATTAGCAGCCACGTAATGAGGATTTACTCTCTTCATCTCCTCCTGCCTGCCTCTTACACCACTCAGTGTGCACCGGTTGGAGTTGAGCTGGTCCCGGCTACAAATGGATCGTTTCTGAAGAGGTAGCGGGTTGGCGGCGACGGGGACAAACAGGGCAAGGAAACACCGCTCTGCGTTCACTGCGGGATCCCAATTAGCATACCGCGCCGTGCCTGACCTCCGCGCTCATTAAAACGCAACCGTCGAGCGACTGATCGCCAGAGTGCGAAGCTAAAGTAGCAGAGCGAGAGAGCGATTTAAATTGAAAGAGCATTCCATCAGCTCCCTCTTTAAAGAACCCACATAAGCCACCTGAAGGCAGGAAGAAAGAACTTCAAAAGAATAAATACATTTTCTCTCAGTATATATATAGATGTGTGTGTATAGTTTTACAGGCTGCTTTGTAGTATGCCATTCAACAACTAAAGTGTCATTGAAATAAAACAATATGATCCAAACATCAAATTTGCCCTTCAAGCTCCCGGCACACTGGCTTTACCATAATGGAGTTTAGAGAGCTGCGATTCTTTCAGTCTTTCACTGCACTGTCAGCAATAAGTCTGCAAACATTGGGCCTCTCTGGCCCTCTTCACATAAACGTCCGCAGAGCAGAATGACAAGCAGCAAATGCCGCCTTCATAAAGAACACGAAGGCAGAAATTAGCACATAACGGCGGCAACAATTTCAGCCCGTGGTACAAAATGCATCTGATGCATTTATCACACAAACAACAGACATTAATGCCTTTGCTGGAGAGCTCCTCATCTGTTCAGCAGTTTGCAGTGTGATTTTCACATCATATCTGGAGCACTGAGAGATGTGAGGCGTTCATGGCACAAACAAGCCTGACACATGTGGAGCAAGAAGAAGGGAAGACTGCGTGATGAGCAATATCTCAACAAGACGCATCTTTTGCCTCAGTGTGTCAGAGCGTTAAACCCGCCCCAGCTGCTTGGACGCCGCTTGGCCTCCGACAGGCAGACGAGGCCGCGGAGACAAAGTCAGCAGGAGGGAAAATGAAAGAAAAATAGAGCGACTCGGCACTGGGACCTCAGGTGTGCTGTGATGGGTTGCTTGCTGCAAATGAGCAAACATGTTGACCCAAAGAAATGTAGATGAGATCAGAAAGGGAACAGCGAGGGTCAGGTTACTATGCTGGGAGAAATAATGCACTGTCTGAGGGAACATTAAGCTTCTTGAATGCCCCGTCACTTGTAATGGTGAAAATAACATGAAGACCTATTCGAAACCTCAATATGTGCCCCTTTAGAAAAGAAACCCAAATAACAAATATAATGTGCAGTGATGAGAAGCCAATGGCCCCTTAAGGCCGGAGCCAGTGGAAATCTGTTTTTTTCCTTTTATGCAGCACTGTGCCTTTAGGCTGTGCTCAGACGAAGCTGGTAATTACACATGGCATCCTGGGAGTTCTGCCGTGTACAGCTACTGGCGTGGATCAGCAGCCTGCTGGGGGCAGGACTCCGTTTTCCTCCGCCGCAGTCGTCGGGTTGGTCCACCCCTCCTTTGGCAGCTGGACATGGCGTGGCACTCCAGCCAGATGTCACAGCGCAGGGAGATAATCTTCCCTGAAAGGAGATATGAATAAACCCGCCGCTCCTCTGGATTGGCTTAATTCCTCCTCCACCAATGTTCCAACTGACTTCCACCACCGCCCCGCTCTCCGATGAATATTTGCCCGCGCAAACCCAATATCTTGCGCATCGTAACACTGGTTGAAGAGAGAATTTGTGTCAGAGGATTGATGGCGCAGATGATTTAAAGGCATTCTTCCCCGAACTTATTTCACTGCCTGATCGTAGCCCGACAGCTTGTGTTGATTAACGGCGTCCTTTCTACATTGCATTTTATGAAAACGGCGTCCTAAAAATAGACCCAACAGTTGTGTCCCATTTAATAGATTCCGTCTGGATTCCAGCCTTCTCATATTGCAGTATCTCACTGAGATGTCCATAAACATTAATGGGGTGCTTTACTACGGGGAGAGTCTGTATGTCCACAACCGCGCATAATATTGACTTGAAGACCTGTGGGACCAGACTTCAGGGTAGTATCAGTATATTTATTCCTCATGTTATAATCCACCTTCAAAAAGCAACAACTCCTCACCGGAAGCCCCCCCCCCCCCTCCCCCCTTTCACGTCGTTGCTGTCGACGGAGAGACAAGCGGCAGTAAAATGCTAATAGATTTGACGGGGAGTGCGGCGATGCTCGGCGCTGTGATCTGAAATTCCGATTGATGAATTGGAGCACTGCGAGGCTCTCAAGGTGAGTCACACTCCTACCAATTTATACCCCTCTTCCCGGGGCAGTTGAACACGTCGCCCCATCTCTCACCGCCACTCCCATACACGTTTACACATGACATTTCATTTTCTCCTCGAGTCTTCATCACAGGGAGCCCCGAGAGGGTTTGCCGGAGAAGCTAAAACAAAGTGGAAATTGAGTAGATCAGAGGATGAAGCAAGCAGCAGCTCTGGTTGAGCCTTCATACACACACGATTCATGTTACCCGTGTCAGAGGCAGCTGTGCAGATCTACCAGGTACGGACAGAAGGTGGTCGTCTCTATTACAGCAACACAGTGATCAAACAAATGGTCTATTTGTGCATTTGTCTTATAATGAATGTGTGATATGATGCTTACACTCTGGTGATTTATAGTTTATTCGTGTTGGCCTTTGATGAGTCACCGCTGTCCACTCCCAGTAATGGGTTTTGCTCCTGTAAAATTTTTTAACTCGCCATAACAAAGTGCAAAACCCAGGAATTGAGTTAGAAGTTTGCTAATTATCCATGTAAGAGCCACGCTGCAGCGTGAGGCAATTGTCAGTGTTTAAAGTGTAACTCTCACTGTTGTGGGTCCAATGGGCCTCGCGCAGAGACACACACCTCCACAGCGAGGTATCAGCACCGAGGAAAGGTCAGGTCGCACACATTTCCTTTCTGGTTTAGATTTTTGTTAAATGTAAAATTTGTTTTGTTTGTATTTCTTTAAAAGCAGCAGTTTGAAAGTGAGAATCATAGATTTTTTCAATACCTTGGAAGGAACCGGCCTCTTCTTCGGCAGTCCAGAACGAACTAAACGCTGGCTCTTCAGTTTCAGTTGATTGCAAATGTGGAGCCTGCGACCTATAACCTCAGATGTCACCGTGTCCTACACACTGCACCTCAAAACCACCTTAAATAATGGTGTCGCCTCAAACACATCAACCGAGGGAGGCGAGGATGTCGACCACACGCCTTTACCAGCGCCGAGCAATCGATTCAAACATTCCACTCTCCAGCCGTCTGGAGATGTCCGACTTCCCAAATATACATCGGATTTCTACACTAGAACAGAAGACCGGCTAAACTGAAATCCAGTGGATTCATTCATTGGATCAGCGGTTGTGGATCATTCTGAATGCCGGTCTTCGGGTCAGAGAGAGCTACTGGTAATTATACGGTGATCATATCGCAACTTCAACGCAAGTTGAATGCAAATGTTGTTGTAAAACCGGTGATACTAGAAAATCCAAAAGTCACAGTGACTAATTAACACGCAGCCACTCGTCTAGATCCGAGATCCATTTTTGATTGAATTAATTATAAGAGGCTGAGTCACACTAGTAATGACACAGTAATGAATGAATTATGAAGATCAATGTGTTTTTTTTAGGACGAGGTCCTAACAATCCGTTCCAATGTCAACACTGCCCTCTAGTGCGCAGAAAGCAAAGAGGCGAACAGGACTGTTTTAGTGGTTCATGAATACTTCCTTGTATTCTGGGTTTAATAAACCTTTGCTTGGTGTTGTTTAAACCCGATGCACCTCAAGAAGTGAGACTAAATGCAGCGTGGTGCGAGTCGTGCATAAGCAGCAGCACGAGTTGACTTCCTGATCCCTCTGAAACATTTACATTCTTTAATTGCGCATTAGAGCTCGCCACTGAGTCACATAAAAACAAGTAACAAGATTCAGTAGAAATTGAGTCACGGCCAAAGTCCGACTGGCATCCCTCACATTTTAAGTTTGCTCGTGTGTGTGCTGAGTTTACTCATGGCCGTAAACAAATGTCCATTCTCACGTCACAAGCCAGATAAAGAAAACCCAAAGTATGAGACACACAGTTACTTGACAAAGCTCACCGAGAGATGCCAAAGGCTGTCAATGGGGGCGCTTAAACTAAGAACCATAAAAAAGGCACAGGCCCATGCATCTCTAGGTTGTCTGAAAATAAAACACAGACCCCAGTGCTGAGTCGTCATATCTGTACAAAAATCTTTGTACCCTACAGAAACTTCTGAACATCCTGTAATGGCCACTTAAATCAAGACTCTCCATATATTCTGAGGACAGCGGAAAAGTTTTTAAAACTTTGTCAATGCGCCTTCTGCCACAACTTTCCACTGGTGTGACTCACAGTCTGGGTTTCCATTAAAAGCCTTTACTTGAAAAAAAGGACAGTGTGCTACAGACAAACTGGCTGTGCTGAGCAGAAAAGACCATTACAAAGTGGGTCACATTCTTTAGTCTTCTTTAGTAATTGACATGCATTATTTGACTTAAATGACCAGTACTTTAGCCTTTAGGGGATTGAATGAAACATAATATCAACAAGTATGTTTTCTTTAGTCTGTATAATCACCTGAAAATAATAATCTGTGTGTTTTTGTTAACTTTAGAAGTTTATGTGTGTGTGCTCCCATCCCCGTCGTCTAACAAGCAGCTGTTGTGAACACATTTCTTCTTCTTGAATAAGAAACAACTTGTGATGAGCCGCAAAATGTGAAATGAAAAAAGGAGACAGCCAAAGATCTCAGCTGGGCGATGACCAAATTATATGAAACACTGGTTGGGGTTTTTGATAAAGATCTAAACGACAAAGGGAGATTCATTGCTTTTTTCAGCTGGTTTGTGACTAACTTCATAACTTCTTGGATTACACCAATAAGGGAACACGCAGAAATGCATCAGCGGCCTTCGGACGCATGTGAGTAGGCTGTGTTTGCCCTTATTGTTTGGAGTCTGGTTACAATATTTGAGCCAGAAGCGGACTAAGTAACCTGGAACCGCAGATGAGAGGGGAATAAATGTCAACAGTGCAACGTGGCATTGATCAGCTGACTGGTTTCATCATCCAGGCTCAGTTCCTCCAAAAGGCCACTTGTACATTTAACCCTTTGAGCCATAGATGGTAAATTACAGTATACTGCACACTGCATTTCCATATGAAATCTACAATACCTTAAGACAGGACAATTTCTCTGTAAATAGACTACCACGTCGGAAACTCAGTAAAATTATAACTTTTTAGAGCAAATCAAGTTGATTAATTGATTATTTGGAGGAATTATAGTGAAACAGAGTATTTAAAGAACAAAAGCCAAACTTCTGCTTCTTTCAACTTGTCAAATATGATTGTTCTTGACTTTTTTTTGGGCATATAGAACAGTATGTGAATTTGGGGTTTGGACTCTGTGCTGGAAAAAAAGACGCAATTGTAAGACGGCAACTTTCAGCTATTTATGTAACTTAATACTCTCTCATCTCCAAGACCTTATGAAAGGAGTGTTGCTGCCCCCCCACCCCCCGCCTTTCTGTCACCTTTAAGTCTGTGCGCAGGTCAAAACAATCAGTAACATCTTATGGGGAATAAAGCACATTGTGTTTGTGTGGTTACGTCACGAGGTCAAGTGTGCGGTCGGACTGTCAGATGGGGGGGTGGGGGTCCCCTCACCTGTTTGGGGTCATCGTAGAAGACACCGACGGTGCTCAGCTGCGGCCCGATGCTGCAGCTCTCCGTGTAGGCGGCGCCGCTGTCCTTGTACGATCCCTCTCTGAACTTGTAAGCGATGGTGATATTTCTGACAGGAGGCGGCCCGGTCTTCACGATCACATCACTCAGGAGTCCCGAGTACAGCAGCAAGCCGACCACCGTCACGATCAGACACAGCAGGAGCACGAGCAACAGGAACACCAGGATGAAATCAGACATGGTTTCTTCTCAAGTGCAGAGACGTGCAAAATGCAACAACAACAAAAAAAGAGGGAAATATATAACGTTGATATGTGTATCGGTCCAGCCCAAAAGAGCGTTCCTCGTCCGGGTCACACAGCGGGAGAAACGCTGTGGTTGAACACGACGGGAAAGGACAAACGTGGCTGTTCGAAAGACGTCGTTGAATTGAGGATTCTCGGACGCAATGACTTGAAATGAAGAAATAAAAAGCTCGTTCAAGTTGACATAAAAGACGGTTTGTTTACGATATTTCCCCAAACACAGGACACGCTTCCTGGATAGACCATTGTCTCCTGTACCGGGGGGGGCGTAAATACGTTTGTAAATGATTAGCTTACTTGTATTAATAACACCACCGTCATATGAAGTGTGAACATGATAAATATATAAACAAGTACATTTGATTCGTACAGATCAACGAAAGCCGTAGCTGAGGCGAACGACGTGTGCTTTTATAGCAAATGAATCCCTTATTTTCGTTACTGTGGTTCAACCCAAGAGCAGGGCAGCGCGATCATCGAGAAAAAAAGAAAAAAAACGGGGATTTTCTTTGTTTTCATTGAATTATTTGTTCTTTCACTGATTTCTGTGCTCTATAAATGATGTAAGGGATTTATCGGAAGGAGGTCGGTGCTTGCAGACAGTTGTCAGTGCTGCTTTTAGGGATTCAAACACTGATGTTTTGTTCAAACGACATTGCAAAGTCCTGCTTCTGTAAAGTTCCTCAAACTATGGAAATTATGGAACTATAGACTATGGAAATGTATTATTTAAATGTATTAATTTAAAGGAGTTTGCGCAGAATCCAGTGAAAGCTCAGGGTGCAGGGAAATATTTCTAAACCTATAACATGTTTTATAATCCAGTTTCGGACAGAATCAGGACTACACCATTTATTGAGTCATCTAATAACTAGTTAGGATATTTCCCAACGCATCTTTGCTTGCATGGATTTGTTCAAACCCTGTAGGCAGAAAACTGCCCAAACAAGTTAATCGACACACAACAACCGGCTTATCACAGGTTAATGCAGCAGAGCATCGATAGTGTGTCCCGCCGCTACTTTCATATTTTCAATGAAATTGTATTTTTGATACTTTGAATGTAAATAGCATTCTCAAAATAGCCTAATATAGCTAGTTTAATGCATTAGGAAATGCCAAGGGTTTTAGGCTAAGCCCTGTATGTCTGTTATATGTTTATTAACTGGGCCCGTCCTCCTGTCAGTTTACAAAAGTGCCCTTCAGGTACAGCGAACAGAGTATCCCTGCAGTAGAGGGCCTCACTGGTGGACTTTGGACCAGGACCTGAGTTGGGCCGAGTCCAAGTTATTTTCCATTAAAATGTGTTTATTAGTTCAGCTCGGCCCAATTAGATCATGCGATGCGTTTTAATCACCAAGTGCTAAGCAAGGAAAATCTCCGGATACAACGGGCATAGAGGGAGAAAGCCTGAAAAAGTCAGGGTTTTTCTATTTATACTAAATGACAAATCAGACTGAAACAATCTAACATAAGTGGGGTTTTTTTATTTTGATAGATAGAATAAAGCATTCAGCACATTTCGTTAAAGATACAATAATATTTATATTTAGAAAAGGTTACCTTTAAAAAGACACTTCGAAACCTAGGACTTTATTGTTTGGTTAATCAGAGTCATCTGTGACATCATCTTCGTCCACACCTTCCTCTCTGTTGACTGTCTTACTTTCCTCAGAGTCCGTCTCCGCGGCCTGAGGAAAAGCACATAGGAAACATTTGGCAAACATGCTCAATTAAAGCTGTGAACTAGCTTGCATAAAGTAGGACGCATTACGGACAAACTACATAACACAGGTTCTTGGAACTGAGACCAGATCAGACGTGTTAACTATGTCAACCACTAATCACTAGTGTGCTACAAAGCTCCCAGTGTATCTTATCCATGTTATCCACCCTTGAAATGAAATGTTTTAGTCCACACTCCTCCCCACTCTTTAGAGTTCATACAGGTCAGTATAATCAGGAAGAACAGATTGTCAATTGTATTTGCCCGGATCTGTTGTTCTTTTCAGAGTTTCATCATTTTTGATAAGTTGGTTGAATTCATTCTTGGTCTGCTTGGAGTAAATTCTCCGTCATGTGTCCGTCAAATAGAAAACCTTTAAACCTTTCATCCAATCCTGTTCCTGCATCATATGTGAACACAGTGCCTGAAAATGACAGTTACCTCAACCTCTGACAGGTCCTGAGGCAGCGGGGAACGTGGCTCCTCATCTTCATCTTCATCCTCATCACTTCCTTCTGACCGCTGAGATAGAATCTCTTCACCCTGCAGCATAGATCATGTGTGCATTACTGTAAGCACACAAATATGTACAGATACACTTACCATCTAATGTTGTACCTTCAGGTTGCGATTCTTCAGGTTGCCAATCCAAAATGCCTCCTGACAGTTGTTGAGCATCAGCATGGCCTTCACTCTGTAGACAAACAGCTCGAGGCTCTTCTTTAAGGCCGGTACGTGATTGGTCAGGCTTGTATCCTGGAGAATCTGAGGGCCGACAGATTATGACGAGGCAACTCAGCGAGGAACACCAGAGGTCCAAACTTTTCTAAATTCACCGGACTTTTCGGACGATTTGGCCGCAGTACATGCAGAGAGATTTCTCCAAAAAAAAGCAGAGAAATAAACTAGAGAGAAAGTGTGTTAACTGTGGCTACCTTAGAATGTCCACACATGTGATGGAGCTGCCGGGTGCTGAGCTGGAAGGTTTTTAGCAGGCTCTGCACATCCTCCTTACAAAAGGAAAAGCATCACACAGAGTCACTCAAATTCCTTCGCCAAGACTTCATTATCCATACCAGACGGAAGCCCGGGGAGAGTTTATGTGGCCTTGTGAGTGAATGTGCGAGTCCGTCCACGTCTAATCTTGCATTCTGCCGAAGCAAACTCCTCAATACTTCGGGTGCCCAGTCATGGCTGCATACTCAGCCACTTCTCGCGGTGACTCATACTTTTTCAAACACCTTTTACTAGCCGGCTGCCCGCTGGCTCCTCACTCATCGCACTGGTTGTTTTTGATTTGAACAGCATGGGCCGTTCTGCTGAGGGCGCCTTTCTAGTTTTGCACAGAATGTCGTGTTGTGCGCTTAGCCATGCTATATAGTTCATGTCTGAATAACATAGCGAAGCAAAAAAGTAAAATATGCATGAATACTTAAATCAAGGTATGTCCAAAAGTGTGGACACACCTTCTCATTCAATTCAATGAGAAGGTGTGTCCAAACTTCTGACTGGTACTGTAGCTTGGTCTGGGATGAACTACAAAATTGATTAGTAGGTAATTATTGGTCTATTATAGTAACTAACTTTTGTTTAAATCAAATAAGGAACCTGGTCAATATTTAGGTCATGTGTACTATTTTAATACCACATTTAGAAGCTGCATTAGGTGACAAGATCTAATGCGTACCATGTGCCTTTTGAAACTGTTGTCTAGTAGCGGCATCCCCAACTTCAGGAAAGACTCCAGGAAAAGGCGACCATACTACAAATAACAACATAATAGAGAGTTAATACGGAGTTAAAGTAGTTTCACCAGGATAAGAAATATGTTTCAGTACACACAGTCAACTCACCTTCAGGCACACATTGAGCACCGGCCTGGAATCAAACACCTGTGAGCAGATGAGCACATTTGTTAGAGACTAACAAATACATATGGGATAAAAGTGATGAAATTCAACCCGCCGTATAAGTTACCAAAACACAATCCAAATATCACCCAGTAAATTGCTGAATGGTGGGAATAGATGAGGTTAAATGTCATAAATCAGTTGAAAAGACATTCACAGCTATCAGAGGACGATGCTAACAGACCTTCACTAAGTTGACCAGGACATGAAAATCTCTGACAGCCAGATTCCACGTCAGCAGCTTCTCACTCTGAGCCTGAAGGAGAACGCGGGTCACATGTTCAGTTGTTCCAAAACTCAGAAGATAACATCTAGCTGGTTATGCACAACAATCCACTACATACAAAAGGTCTCTGCTCCTCTTTGGTAGATGTGTAGCAGGGTTGTGTGTCTCTTGCTACATTGAGTTCTTAGGTATTCTCAATACCAGAGAGCACGGCTTACCTCCGTGTTGTCACTGACATTGCCAGCAGGAATCTTCCTGATGGCCTTTTCCAGCTCGGCCATCAACACTTTGTAGAACACCAGGAATGTTGACCTGACGAATCATTTCCAACATGAACATTAACAGTGTGGACTCTCTTGAGTGTGATTAGTATCAATGTATTGTTATCACAGTCAGGCAGTGCTAGATAACATGAGCACACCATGCACCGGAATTGCATTCTGCTACTTTGGAACTAAGCACAGTGGAACGATGGCGACTCACCTGTTGAGAGTGGGCCATGACGTAGAGCTCTCCTCTTTGGATGCATCAAGGAGCTCAGGGATTCCCACTCCAGCTATTTCCTCCACTGCCTTCAGCACATCATCGACATGCTCCAGGTAAATTCTGCAGAGAAGAGAAAGGACAAAGGCATCATAACCAGAACACTTAGATGCGCGTTCACACATAAGAATACCTCATAGGATAACCAAAGGTGTTGATTAGAAACCGTGCACTTTATAGCTTTTACATTATGTGATGTGTTTTCTGAAATGCGGAACGAAATACCACCTTCATTCGTTTATTGTGTGATAACAAGTACACTAAACGTTTTGTGTGCCATCTGTGAGCTGACGCTAATGTGTTTAATTAAACTGTACAGTAGGGAGGGAATTTATAAAAGAGCAATGGGCTTCTTTAAAATAGATAAATGTTTTTTTCCAGAGGTTCTATATAGATGATGCTCCTGATACAAAGCAGTCAATCTTTTTATGAATTATGAATGAATTAACAATTGATATAGTGTGAATAATTCACAAAAGCTAGACCACAATCTATACTGTAATTATTAGGATATTTTGACCTTAATTAAATACGTTTGTTGTTACTTTCTGAAAAGCAGACGCACCTCAGGAGAGTGTGAAGGGCTTCATTGAATTTGTTCCCTCGCTCCTTCTCTCCTCTGGCTGTCACCCAGTCTTGGCTGAGGAATTGCTTTGCTAGGGAAGCTTGGAGGAAAAATGAGGCATTTATCATCACAGTCCAGTTGATAGTTGATTGAATTGAGGCAACATGTCAGACTGACCCGTCTGCTCTCTGAAGGCAGCAGGGTCGCCTCCTTTCTCCGACACAGTGGACAGAAGCTGGGAGAGACACAGGGCCGCGCTGAGACTTGGCATTGTGCTGCGGAAGTTCACCAGGTACTTGAAGCTGTGTCTATACAGAGATAAAAAGTGGTTAAAGATACATTTGAACTATTTATTTTTAAAACACAGATAAAACCATTTGACTTTATTAGATCAGATCAGGACTCTGAGCAGAAAAGATACGAGAGGCCACCAAAGCAAATTGAATGTGATTAATAGATTAAAAAGGAAAAACATGGATCCTATGAAGTAGTTCATCTGAAGCTCTTAACCTCGATCACTCACTTAACAAGCTGCGGCAAGGTCAACTTGGCGCTTTCCTCTTTTAGTCGTACAGCCAGAACTCCCAGGGCCTTCTTCAGTAAGCTCCGCTGTCCTGGCTGGCTGAATCCAGACCTGACAAATACACAAAAGTCAAAGATTGATTTAACAGAAACTCTTTCAAAGGCAAACAGCTTTTCCAAAGAAAACGTTAAAGGTTTGTGGTGCTGGTCCCCCTCACCAGCTCAAAGTGGTGTTCAGGACCTGCAGAAGCAGCTGGTAGCTTGATGACATTAGATTGTACTCCTGAACATCCGTGGCAGGTCCGTCCACAACGCCGTTGTTCTCAGACAGCAGTGTCTGGGGGGGGGGGGGGGGGGGGAAAACAGGGATAAGTTATTTTAAAAGAAATGGAAGAAAGCTTCACTCATATCTACAGCTTTCTTTGCACCTGAAAGTGGTTGTGGCAGTTCTCCAGGTGTGAGCAGAGCGCCGGCAGCAGCTGGACACAGTAGGCAGCAATATCATTGGAGCTCCTCTGTTGCAGATGGGAGAAGCCCAGGCTCTTATCGGTCCTTCCCTGCACAAGACAATATGTCATTGAGGTTGGGGTCATATAAGCATGCATATTAGTTTTATACAGTTAACAAAATATCACTCAAAGCGTCTCTGCAGAAAATATACTTTCATCAGGCCTTCATTTTATTTACCTGAAATAAAAAAACTAAGAAATGATGAAATCATAACAGATGTTTTTCATAAGTTCTCTGATCTCATCACTGTAGGCCTGTAGGTTTGTTCTGCACCTTGAAGAAAGGAGTTCTCTTGGCGGGGGCAGCTGTGAGACTGAACTCCAGTTTGCGATGCATGTCCTCCAGCAGGAACACCAGCTCAGCAGGACCCAGCAGAACCTCCTCCCGCACCTCATCCACATGAGAATAAATAGAGATGCATAACAACAACCTGTGTATTGATGTATGTGAGGATTACATTTGTGTAGTAGATTAAAACTGGATGGAAATTAATTGCACTAAAATTCAAACATCAAAAAATGGATTTGAGCTGGAAGTCTCAACACGGTCTGGACACGAAAACAATGGAAAATAGGGTCAATATTTTGTTTTTTAAACTTATTAATTCCAAAAAGAAAAAGGAAAATACAAAACCAAATCATTTTGTCAAGAAAGCCAATACCAAGCTACTCATTCCCGTTCTTACCTTGGTGTGGAGCTCAGAGTCAAGCAGTGAGCACGACAGCAGGCCACACTGCAGCACATTAAGCACCTCCATGTCCAGCTCCCTGAAATACGGCCTGTAGGACGCCAGGCTGACGCCTTGGCGGATCTCCTTCTCCGGCTGCTCCTTTAGCACAAGCAGAATACCCCTTTAAGCAAAGTTCCAATAAAAAATGTAAAAAAGAGATTCATACGTGAAGTAAAAGTTCACCTGCTGAGTTTTGTCTGCTTCAGTTGTCTCGTCAAGCTGAGAGGCGATCTCTGAGGAAATCTTGCCGGGGGCCTTCCTTTTCTTTCCTGCGCCATCTAAAACACCACATATGTGAGTTAGAGACATATGTGGGCATTTATTCCTTCATCGAGCTGATTGGGTTCCATCTATCATGGAGCAAACTATCTTTTGTTACCTTTCTTTGCCTTATTCACAGGAGCAGCAGCACTAAGTGAAACCCCAACTGTGCTTTCTCCATCAAAGTTGGCGACAGGTGGAACATAGCCAGGTGTTACTGAAACACACGTAAGAAAAAGTGCTATTTTTCAACACGCACGTGAGGAGATCTTTAGATGCTCAGCATTGATGGATCGGAAAGTCACCTGCCAAAGCCCTCTCCAGCACTGTCTGGAGGTAAGTGATGTTCTGCAAACGGGTCATCACTTTCATCTTCATCTCGGTTTCCTTCTGTTCACAGAAGGCATTGACGACCTATCGCAGGGCGGTTTTAGTAACGTCTAACCAACTTTTAAGAAATCGCATCGTAAAAATCCCACACATGCAGTTACCTCTCTGAACCAGTTGATGGTGTAAAACAGCAACGTACAGAAGAATTCTCTCTCGGCTTTTGACAGGCTCTCCATTTTCTCCATCACGTCCATGTCCGTCAGGATCAGCGGGCAGCCTTTGTTCCAGCAAACGTAAACACACACACACACACACACACACACACATTGTTTACTAGCCATAGAAATGAGACCAGACTGGATTTCAGGAGAATGGTGTAACTTCCACTTCCTCACCCAGAAGGCCGTCAATCTCATCCAGGTCTCCCTGGTGCAATCTGTGCTCACAGAGTCTCAGGAGGCGGAAAAACGGACACAGACTGAGAGGAGACACTCGCCTGTCCCCACAACATACAGGAAGGAAACAATATGAAACATCCTGCTGGTTACACAAATGTTTGGAACGTATTGCAAAATAAACAGACAGCGAGTGAAATACAGTCATCAGAACCAGTGAGAAGTGGGGAGAGGGAGGTGACTGACTTGTGGGCCTTTGTGCTTTGACTCTGCTGCTCTCCTTTGGCCTTAATATCATTGGCCAGTAGTGGCAGCAAGTTGATGGCAATGTTCCCCTGATCCTCCAGGTCGTACATCACCCGCGGCGTAAGAGGAAAGGAACTGGGATACACAGAGGAGGGATTAATAACAGAAGTAATAAGATTCTTAAAAGAAGTCATTTCCTTTGCTGCCAGCTGCCCATCACTTACCCCGACATTTCTGGTCCGAGATCCGCAACAAAGTCAACCTGGAACTCATCTATGACACACTTTCCGATGTTCTCCTATTGGTTGGACCATTACACAACCAAAATGCTGAAAGCTGCCTTGTGCTAGTTGTGTCTTATGTTTGGATGCATATCATAGACATTGAACATGAAGAGATAAGAGGAGTGATAAAGACAGGGACATGTTTGTTTGAGACCGACCTGCACCTGCAGGTCCAGGGTGGAGTTCAGCATCAGGTTGGCCAGTTCGTCGTAGTAAAGAGCTGCAGCCTCAGGTGAGCTTTCGATGCTGGACTTGACCAGCTCTAACAGGGCTGTCACCTGCAACGAGCAATAACGCGATTGCACAGCTTTCTAAAATAATGTGATGCCGATGGCAAACTGATAAACCCAAATGTGAACTAAGTCTTGTCAACTTATAAAACCAAATTGCATGCTAAATAGTTATAGGCCTTTCACTGATATGCTGAAGAAAGCTGACAGATATATATTTTTTTATATGATCTAACCTTATATACAATTAAACACTATATCTAGAATTGAGGAACATAACAGGTTACTGATATCTATTTGTACGTCATTATTCACTAGTTAACCATAACTGTAAGCCACAATACAGAAAGTAGTATGAATCACAGGAAGAAGCATGTGGGTACACGATAGTTATTGGCCAGTTATTCTCCTCCCCTCAGTTATCTATTTTGCAATGGCACTGTTGCTGCATCCTGACCTCAGCGCCAGCTAAGACAACTCTCATGGATTTAATCAAATACAAACAACACAGATGATTTTCCGCCGCTCTGCTGGATTATGATGGCTTCAACCTTCCTTGCTAAAAGAAGGTGTGGGGAAAGGTCTGGCTTAGCCAAGCTAGAATTAAAGGGATAGTGAAATTCAAAAACAGTAACGTTTGTGCAAAATACACATTGTTCTTTCCGATTGTTTTAATCCATAATACGTACCTGTCTGAGTGTCTCCTGCGGTAACGACACATTCTTTGACTCCTTCCCTTTCAGCCTGGGAGGTTGTGGAGGCAGAGGGTATGATTGTGACCGAATGAAGACGTGAAATACTGACTCTAAGCATGTATACTGCTTGTGAGTAACACCTCTTACCTGGCGGCCCCCATGCTTCCTACAATCCTGACAGCACCAATGATGCCGATGCGCTTGTACTTCAGCGCCGTGCTGGAGAGCTGTTTGCGGATCACAATGTGCATGTCGTCCTGAGGGGTGAAACAGAGTCGGAGAGCTCGGTCAGCAGGTGAGATGATGTCGAGAAAAAGACAAAGATGGGTTTGAACTTAAAAGACGGGAGTCGTCCTTTGAATGTTTACCTGGATGTGAGATCCCTGCTGCTGATGCCCAAAGGCCAGGCTGCTCAGGAGGTGGAAGAGTCTACGGATCTGCTGGGGTGTGAGGTTGTCCATGTAATCTAAGATTCCCTGAATCCAATAGAGTTCTCAGTTACAAAAACTGACCAAACTCAATAATAATAAACCTTTGGTTTTTATGGTTTGTTTCGCAAATAGTAAGGGCAGATATGTGGATCACCATACCTTGACAAAAACTGCATAAAGGGCCATTTCGGAGTGTTTTTCTGTCACAAGGCCGCAGAGCAGCTCGAGGGCCATGTCCACCTCCCCGCCCACACCACTGCACACGTGGGTTACCAGGGAGCCGACAACCTCCTGCACAACATGCACGGTGGAAATACAATGACTCGGCTGCAAAAATACATAAAAGAGAAGAGAAAAAAAAAAGAATCTCAAACCCACCTGTTGGCAGTACGAGTCGAACGCAGTGAATGAGTGCCGGTACATGTGTCCCCCAAAAGGCACCACACAAGGGTCAGGGGAGCGCAACAAGCTCTGAGCCAGAGCCAGGATGGAGGGGAAATACCCCCGCATGACCTAGAGAGTCACCATTGATCAATACAACCCATCGCTCAAATAACAAAGAATGACACAAAACTTCTGTCAATAAAATGCACTTTACGTCAGCAGACCGACCCACCTGAGCATAGTCCCTGAAGGTCCTCTGGAGTAGAACCTCCTGGATGAATCCACTCCTCACTTTCACCTTCAGCACCCTCTCTGCCCCCCGTCGACTCTGGTTGGCGTTGGTGGAGTGGAGGATGAACAGCACCAGCAGATCCAACACCTGACACGGCGCAGCAAATATCAGACAGACGGATTCAAATCCCCGTAAATGTGAGATGTGAAACAACAGTTCTCCTACAGGTCCTTGATTTCACATGTGTCGGATTTGAAGATGACAGTTAGTGTGAATGCGGCGTATTGTGCTCACCTTGTGGTCCTCCTCTTTGTCCACGGACTCTATCGCCTAATAAAAAACAAGTGCAGTTAGCGGCGCTAACATTGAAGAGAGCAAAAATATCAGTACGTAGAAATCAATTAAAGCAAGGGAAAATAAAATAATGGTTCATTTTCAGACCTTGAGCCAAGCCTCGGATATTGTTTTCTGGAATCGCACCGCTGACTTGATGCCGTCCAGTACCAATGTAACGCTGTCTTGGCTGCTGCCAGCTGACGGCGTGGCAGCGGACCTGCTCCAAGACCGGACTTATTAGATCAAATTCAGGAATGCAATTGTATCAAGAACCTGCTGGCCTACTTCAAAACGAGTTCCTGACCAAGCATTATATAAAAGGTTACGAGGGATTTTAAATCTGTGACGTCTTACGCTGTTGATCCTTTGCTCTTCATGAGGCTCTGAGAGGCCTGCAGCACCAGGGGGAGAACACACTGCTCCAACTCCAGCTTTTTACGAAGATTACACACCACCTACCACGAAAAACACACGGCACATTCCTGATTTAAAAATAATACATCACAATTACTATCTCTATCTTATGCAGAACGATGTCGACATGTCACTGAGCTCTGACCTCATATGCATCAGAGGCTGAGACAGAATGTAGGATGAACTTGATCACCACAGGTAGGTCCTCCAGTTGCACAGCTCCCAAGGTGACCATGACGGCTCCACGGACCTGAGAGGGCAGACAGTGACCGATCACAACCCAGTGACGTTCCCTTGGCCTGTAATATTCACAAAAAATCTATGTAATAGAATCTGTGTGCGACTATTACCTCAGTAAGTAATGAGGAACTAAGGTTCAAACTAGAGAGGGCATCCAGGATGGGCACAGTCAACTGAGTGTTCTCCTGGAGTAAAGAGCTGCAGAGAACAGGACAGCCAGTAGGATTAATGACTGAAACGACACATACGGCCCAAGAGGCGCCGACCTGTGGTGGAGATGTACTGCACATACTTGAGCTCTTTAGCGATGTCATTGTGCTGGGAGTCTTCCAGTATCTCTGGCAAACTGCTGATGATGTCACGCTGAACCTCCACTGGTGCTACTGACACCAGCTCCATGAGCTTCGCTGCCAACTGCTGCAAATAACAGGCCACAAAAAGGGCTGAAATGAAGACATGCCCTTCTAGACTGATACTGATTACTGGTGTGAAGAAGAAACGCATGATTGCAGGTCTGCTGGATAAAAGCACGGGTATTAACATTTTAATGGCTGTGACCGCCTCTCATATGCAACCTATCATCAAATAAATGACTACCTTGCTGTCCACAACTCGGTCCAGCCATTTAAACTGGTTGATAATTGTGTGAGGAATGTTGAGTCCTCCATCTCCAGCACTGTGAGGGACAGAACAAGGTCACATTTAGCTAAATAACACAGCGGCAAAACCGAGACTGTGAAATGGTTCAAATGCTCTAAGAAACAAAATACGGACCCGTCAAACATAAATTCAGGGAGCTTCTCGAGCAAAGTGTTGATGATCACGGTCTGCATGAAAATGAAAAGTAGATTATGTGCACATGCGCAATTCACATTTACTGTAAATGCCTGACAGGGAGAAAAATTTCAACTTTAGTTTTTTCTGCGTGAGATCCTTCGTGAAGGGGTGATTCTTGGTAAAAATAATCTGACCTGCAGCATCTCAATCCCCAACAGCATGCGTAGCAAACTTTCCTGAAAAGAGCTGACGTTACTGCAACACAGAACAAAACACGTCAGTAGGTCAAACACCACATGTGTGTCTGCCCGAGTGGCCTCCATTACCACATGAGACTCACCCGGAGTCTCCATCAGACAATTGTGGGACACATGGAAGAAGGCAGTTCCTAAACCGCTCAGGGTCCTCAATATGAGACTCCAGCCCAGCAGTGAATTCCTGCACAATCTGAGCAAAGAAGTGTCCGTGAAACACAACAGCCTCACGTTGAATACCGCGACCTTGTGTAGAGATGGTGCAACGTTGTTGTTGTTTTTTACTTACCCCTGGGAACCTGGGACTCTTCTGAAGTTGTTTCAGCAACCTTTTTTGGAAAACGATTTGATCGACAGCTGGAGGGAAAAGATAAGAACAAGAAGTGGTCAAACTCATCCCATTTGGTGGCTCTGTGTGTTTTTGACGTTGGAATGAGTGTGTTTTACCGATCTCATTGGATGTTCCAGCTTGTTTCAAGGTGACACCTGCCTCCCGAAGAAAGACACCAAATACACTTTCATTGGTTTCCTCTGGAGCTGGCTCCTTTGGCTTGGGAGCAGTGGTGCGACTCTTCTTTGCCTCTATGGAGAGAGCAAAATAAACCTTGTATGTAAAGGGAGTAGGATGCATTGTAAATAAGGAAAGGCAAGAGTGAATTTAGATATCTTTACTGCCTTCACTGGGGAACACATAGGTCGGTCTTACACTGTTGAGATGTTATACAACACTTACTACTGGTCGATGTGGCTCCATCTCCTTTACCCGCAGAATTGCGCCGCTTTTTACGCATCATCTAATGAAACATGAAGGACAACAGGTTTTCAACAGCTAACGTCAACGTTACACCAGGCTAGCATCAACAGTTAACAACAAGCTACGGTGTCGTTATAAGAAGTGAGCGTCACTTGGGGAGACGTGACAGTTGACGTTACATAGCAACCATTATGATGTGGCTACGCTAATAGCTAATGCAGTAAAACACAACTAACGCTAGTTAAGTTATGTTGCGTGCCGCGAGACGTACGTTTGGTAGAAATAGGATAACCCAGGCGAAGATTATACACGTACAGCCAAAGACACACACGTTACAAAACAAACTTCCGCGCCAAATGCGTTGTGTGCGTCACAAACCAGTTAGGGATCATCTAACCTCCATGACCATTTTCATGGAGTTTGCGAAAAGAGGGCAACGGCTATGAAGATATTATACTGTCTAAAAAAACGACTATTTATTGCGAAAGTAACTTTAGTTACTTTATAACTTAGTCTGTTGACTGAAGTATATGTTGTGCTTTGAAAAAGTGGTCCGTTGTTCAATGCTACTAGGGCCACAACATATTGTGTACGGTCTCTAATGTTTGAGCAGTAGGCTGCATGTTTTACATAGTCCTGTTGTCCGTTGATGGGCGGAGTGAGAAATCTGTCGAGATAATGACCCGTGACTACTTTTATCGGGATGCGCCGTCTAAAGAAACATGCGAAACCCCAAAGCGCGGTACCTGCGCAACGCTGTCAACGAGTGTGCTGTATATCATGCGCCTTCACTTATATTGTCTAAAAAAGTGACTATATATTGCGAACATAACGTTACCTTCTTTATAACTTAGTCTGTTGACTGGAGTATATGTTGTGCTTTTAAAAGTGGTCCGTTGTTCAATACTACTAAGGGCACAACATATTGTGTACGGTCTCTAATGTTTGAGCATTAGGCTGCATGTTTTAGATAGTCCTGTTGTCCGTTGATGGGCGGGTGAGAAATCTGTCGAGATAATGACCCGTGACTACTTAAAGGATTTAAGTGACCCGTGACTACTTAACGTATTTGGGGTATTTCTCACATCCAATGAGATCGGATGCGCCGTCTGAAGAAACACGCAAAACTCCAAAGCGCGGTACCTGCGCAACGTTATCAAAGAGTGTGCTCTACATCAAGAGCTTTCACTGCAAACTGCCTCCTTCATCGCTTGACTTGGGTTTCCTACAGCGCAGTCAATTCCTCATTCTATTGTTTTTTCATCTTGAATTTCTATATTCAATAACAATATATTTTGTATATTCCTTGTTTTTGTATGTACTGTGTTTTGTAATAGAGAACACATGTTAATTACATGTATGCATAAGCACACATGGGGAATAAAGCTGATTCAGACGTGACAATGTGTGGGGGGAAGTTCGTGACCCGACCTTTAGGCTGATGGTGGGGAACCATCTTGCGAGCTAAACACAAGATCTTTGACTCTATTTGAAGGCTTGCTCAAGAAAGTATAGTGGCACCGAAATAAAGCGATCATTGTGACTCAACAAAAGGAGCAGCTATCAAGCATGGCGAGAATGGCTGCGAAGTTTTACGACCTATCGGCCAAACTATTGACGGGAGAAACCTTTAATTTCTCCTCACTGCAGGGCAAAGTTGTCCTCATCGAGAATGTGGCGTCCCTCTGAGGTACGACCTCCAGGGATTACACCCAGATGAACGAGCTCCACGAGCGGTACGCCGGCAAGGGGCTCGTGATCCTGGGCGTGCCCTGCAACCAGTTCGGCCATCAGGTGAGGAAGTGAAGGTTTTATTCACTTTTGCGTGCTATAGGCCTATTTCCTCGGAAACAAACGTACCTGCGTTTAATATGTTGAAAAAATGATACAAACGCGTGTTTGTTGTCAACTTTTATTTATATTTATTGGCTATTTACTCAGATGGAGTTGTAATCCTGGTTTAGACTTTCGGCTTTATATGTCCAAATTCGTTTGCTAGTCCCATTAGATCTGCTAAAGATTGTAATTAAAGTTGTTATATTTATAATTGAACCTCTAAATTTGAGGACACATTTCGCTAATGAGGAATTTAGTTCCTTTGAGATTAAATTTCAGCATTAAATATTTAGGAAACAGGACAATTTATTATGCATATAGAATAATCAATATGTAATTTATTAACTAAGTTTTAACAAACCCTAGTAAGTCATTAACAGGCAGTTACGGAAATTATAAGAAGTGACGACAGTTTAGAGGGGAAGGGTTCTCTCTGTCCAAGAACAATGGCAGATTAAGAGAACCAGATAAGACAACCAAAAATGAATGAATGACTGATTGAGATAAGAGCTGATCTGGAAATGATCCATGGTTTATTAGCCATTCAATTTGACTTATTTTATACCATTGAGTAAGTGAGTAACTGATTAAGTGGAATTTAAATTGGGTTTGACTGCTATGACAGTTTTCCATTCAACTTGAACCACAAACCTTTTGTTTGCAGTTCCCTCATAAAACTAATTAATACCTGTCCATGGAGACGTAATGCCATGTTAATACTTTCTCAAGGACACTTCTCAGTGTCCCCTGGAACTTCCTGCTTCCCGAACTGTAACATGACCACACCGTTTCTGACTAACCCATTCAGGAGAACTGCAAGAACGAGGAAATTCTCCTGTCCCTGAAGTACGTCCGTCCTGGAAATGGCTTTGAGCCGAAGTTTCAGCTCTTGGAGAAAGTGGATGTGAACGGGAAAGATGCCCACCCCCTGTTTGTGTTCCTGAAGGGGAAGCTGCCATACCCCAGCGACGAGCCCGGCGCCCTGATGAACGACCCCAAACTCATCCTCTGGAGCCCGGTGTGCAGGAACGACGTGTCCTGGAACTTTGAGAAGTTCCTCATCGGGTCGGATGGAGTTCCATTCAAGCGCTACAGCCGGAGGTTCCTCACCAGCGACATCGAGGGGGACATCAAGAAGCTCCTCAGCCAGGCGACCTAGAGGGCCCCACCCTCCCGAATGTTGTGCCCCCGCTTGCACCGGCTGGTCGGCGCATCAACGCCCCCCTCTGGGGATCGTTGGGTTCCCACCGAAGCTTCTGCGGCGGGCGTACAACCCTTTTACCAGACCGCCAGTGCTCTGCTAGACACGACGGCCGTGTTCTGTTCGTTTACAGCATGACGACATCCTCCGAAACCACGTCCGTTGTGAGGGGGCTGTCTGATGAAGCGTAAACGCCTGAATGTTTATCGGCTGCATTGTGTCTATGCAAAGCACAGCGGTCTTTTGTGTAAAGAGGACCAATAAATGTTTTTCAAAACCTTTCCCAACTGCCTCTTAGTGAAATCATGGTATAAAAATATATATACTTTTTTTTTTTAAGATAGATCTTTAGGTCAAACTCTATAAAAAGGACCGATTTAGTGTGAATTATAAAACTTGATGTGGTGATAGATTGTGTAACCTATTACAAGTTATGGCAGGTAAAGTGACCAATCGAGCGCCTGGTTTTGCAGTAACAGTGCCATTGCCACCTCTGCTGTTACCATGCCAACAGCAGAGAGATTTTTATTTAATCACATGCCAAGAAAAAAAGCTTTCGCAAATTATTTCACAAAAAGCTTATGCCAGCGTTATCACAGCTTCTTAGTATTGTTTACATTTTATGTATAATTAATCCAAACAAAACCACTTTGTTGAGGCCTCCAGTCTTTATTGTACTTTGAATTCAAATATGTTCAGTTAAACAAATACCGATAGATATTGGCAATAAGATAAATATGATACGATTTTTTACACCTACTTAATAGTCAGATTATTTTGTTTGTATTTCTGTTGTAATTAAAGACAACAAGATCCCCTGCATTCAGCAGCTGCCTTTTGTTTTCAGTTAGTAACTAGGATTACTAATATGATTAAAGCTTTTCTAGGCATATGCTTAAATGATTATATTTAGGTATTCATTTCTCAAAGCCATGATGGGCAGGACAAACGAGTGAAAGGGCACTCGGCCCCTCATATCAACATGCTGTAATGCGACAAAGTGCAGAATTTATGCCACCGAACAAGACTCATGGTAATAGATCCATTTAGTAGAAACGGCCACCTGGTTCCACTTAAAGACCCACGAGTCTGCGTTTAGGCGAATGTATTTTATACCCAGTCACGCTGAACCTGAGCAACTACCTCCTGGGATACTTGTGTGTCTATAAAGACACAACAAAAGGGATCCTCCACTTATTCCACCAGCAGACACACCGTTGGCTCACTTCGCCGTGGGACTGCTGCCACGGAACGGTCACCCTGACCCCGACCGATGACACGTGTCGATCGATCCCGATGACCGCGGGGGAGAAGTTAAAATTTCATCAATAAGAGCACCACTTTTATTCTAGTTTATTTTGCTTCACTCAGTGTGCTTTTAAGATATCAAATAACAGCCATTTCAATACCCAGCTGCAATAATGTACAATAGTAATGAGGACAAGCCATTGAAGGTGAGCTGGAGGTCTTAACAGGCAGCAATCAAAATATGCTTGTAAGACACATTCAAACAATGTGGAGGAGTATGACGGACCGTAACCCTTAATGCTGAGGACCAAATCATACAATCCTGTGATATCTTGATGCACCAGAAGCAGGTGGATAATGGATTCGTGGAGAATTCAAAGTGCCCCCTTCTAAGTCAGGTTGCAGGAATCAAAAGGCCTCTTTTGCATTGTCGTTACACAAAAAGAAATGACAATAAAAATGGTTAGCCGGGTAAGACGCCTCGCATAAATTTAGGTTCTGAGAGGCAGCGGTGCCCCTTCTGTGCATCATGGGAGAAAAGAAAAAAGATGGCTGAGGAAAACTGCTTCTGTCACAAATCTGTCAAGACACAGAAGTTAAACTGTGCAAATCCCCTCCCAGTGGTTTAGACAGCAACAGCATGTAGCATGCTAGTATGCAGCATCAAGACACCCCCACCCCTCCCCTCGGTGACCCACTATACGCAGGTGGAATAGGGTCACGGGATTATTTCAACAAGCATGGCATGAATTGTTCTGTGTGCACATCACACTGTCAACAGTCTGCATTTACCTCAGCACAGCACGACTAGCAGAAATAAATCCAGGCCCATTGACAGCATCCTGCTCACCTCTCAACTGTTGGTATATTTCATCATAAAAACCTTGGAACGTTTGGGTTGAAACAACATGTGGAAAAACAAATAGAATAAAACAGAAGATTCTCTTGAAGTAATATTCAATGTATTCAATGCTGCTTGTATGTTTGGAACAAACTTGGTGAGCATGATTCAGCTTTTTTTCTTTTAAATCATGAGTCAGTGGATTTGTGTTGCACGCACACACAAACACAGCCAGAGCTGACTAGTATCCTGCTCGTGTCTTAGCAGGTGGTATATTTCATCATAAAAACCTTGGAACGCTTTGGTTCAAACAACATGTGCATTTGGCTTTTTTTCTTTTAATATTTCTGACTGTTGTTGTGGGCAACAGAAACATTTGTGTATCTACGCATTTGAGGGCACTTCTAACATTCTGTTCATCCAGTGTGAGCATCTCTATCCGTACTCCTCTTTAGCTCCAGACTAGTAAACTATGGTCAGAAACCAGTTGGCCATCTGCTGCTGGGGAACAAGTCTCTCTTCTGACGAGGCCGTTGACAACAATCGAGACAGAAATCAAATAAAATATGAGAGGAGGGTTAATAATGTTAAGTCTGTGGAGTCTTCTGTCACTAAAGTAGCATGATGTGTGCGTCCGAGGGTCTCTATTTGCCATATACGTCTCAGTGCCAGTCCCTTGACGTGAGGGCTGCTCAGTTTGTGTCCATGTGGTCATCGGCTGCTTCCGGGGCTCCTCCCACTGAGGCCGAAGGCTGAGGTTTGGAGGGGGCTTCCTCGTCCCTGCGCTGATAGAACAGCACATATGCTGCTTTAGTCTGCCGGGGGGGGGAACAAGGATACGGTTACACAACGAACCCTGGGATACTCGACACCGAGGACAGAAAGCCAAGAGGGCCGAGGCGCTTATCTCAGTCAAACATCGGCCAATCACACGAAAGGGTCGAACGCGGCACTCGGTTGCGTACGCGCTACCTATGCAGAGAAAATGTTTATTAGAGTCAAAACTCACCACAATCTGGTCCTCTGAGGCAGAGGAGACGCTGCTGTCATCAAAGTAATACCACTTTCCGTCCACTTTATTCTTGCCGTAAGCGGTGTCTGTAAGGCGGAAATGAGCGTTGAACAAAGACCTGTTCGGTTCACTCGTTTGTCCAGCAAGAGATCAACAATCTCACGCACACCTTTGTTAAAATAAGCTCTCAACAGCGCTTTACGGCATGTTGATGTGGAATGAGGTTTTGTTACAAGAGATTCAAATTAGGGGTGGGGTAAAAAAATAAATAAAAATAAATAAAATAATAATCGATTCTTCGATTTCTCTCGATTCTCTCTAGAACGATCCGGTCTCGATTCTGAAAAGTTAATAATCGGAATTAAAAAAAAGTCTGTCTCGCGCGAGATATTTGCTCGCTCGCGGAGCGTGAACTTAAAAAGGTTAGTCTCTGCTACGCGCTCGCTGTTTTTCTTTTTGACAGTAAGGGGGCGGAGCCAGTCACCATGGTCTCTACACCTAATTGGTTACAAACCCTGTTTTTGGATTGGCTGGAGTGACGTATCCACACAACTATAGAAGCCCATTTCCGCACTAATGTAATGGGATAAAAAGTCGAAATTATGAGATAAATTGTTGTCAAAAAACAAACGCCCCCCTTCGGTAATCATAGTGGATCGTAGATGACAACCAGCTATAACCATCATTTACCATCATTACCGGCACATTAAGAGCAATGCGTCCAGCTCTCAGACCGGTCCGTCAGTCTGAATCTGAATATCTAATAACTTTACCGAACTATGAAGGAGCCTGCGCGTATCTTACCTCATTATTTCGATTTTCCAAAAAGTCGAATTGAAAGTTGGCAAGATATTCACAGATTTGGACTTTTTAAACAAAAATTAATCTGTTTAATATTTTTTTACATAGGCTACTTCCATATTGTGTTGAAATGCAAGCTGCATTGGTTCTTGCATAGTTGATAGAAAATCATATTTGGGACGATTTGTTTTTCTCTTATAAAAAATTAGAGAAGGTAATTCATCTGTTGATTTTCTTTAATTATGAAATAAAGTAGGAAGTGATTAGCAACCTCTGAGTAGCAAACTCAGATTTGAGAAAATTTAGAAAATTGAGATGCATCGATAATTGTTTTATCAGTTTAGAATAGATAATCGGTTTAGAATCGAATCGTTGACCTCTGAATCGGAATCGAATCGTGAGGTGCCAAGAGATTCCCACCCCTAATTAAAATACTGGAGAAAAGGTGGAGAAAGATGAACAGTAACTTACAGTGGCCCCCTCCCATTCCTCCATAGTGATTTGACACGGCAACGAGGTCGTATACGTAGGGGCCGGCCTTTGGGTCGCACACAAACTCAGACATGTTCAGATCCCTGACAAAAGGAAAGATCTTCAGTTAAAAAGGGAAATTAAATGGTATTTCCGCCACATTGAAACAGTTATTAAATGTAAACTACCTACTAAACAGCAAAGAAAAACCAATAGAATAAAACTGAAATATTAAATTCTGCTTGTATGTTTGGAACAAACTGGGTGAGCATGAGTCAGCTTTTTTAAAATCCTGAGTCGGTGGATATCAGATAGCTTCAACGTCTCCATTTAAAAAAATGCACAGGACATTAGTGCCAGGTAACCTACTCTTCTAATAGCCGAAAAGCTACTTAGTGACACAACTTAAAAACATACAGCGAATAAGGACGCAGGTGTGATGGGAACAGCTCCCAGGGACAACAGTCCATGTACAGTAAAGTACAGTGCTTCCTCATTCAGACCTCAGGTCACTTTGTGACAACGAGCTTCAGTCTAAAACCTCCAGGGATCCTCCGATGACAAACTGATAGCTTTGGATGTACATTATTCTTTGTCACAACCTGATCTGTATTTCTAACCGATGTGATTTGAGTAGGAACAAAATCGATAAAACTGCATTACTAATGTTAATAAAAACAAACAAACACAGGATATCAATCTACGAAGGTAAAAAGGCCCAGACAGACCGAGGTCAGAAGTGACCTCTTTTCGGGAATCTAGAATTACAAAAAACAGACACATCGTTGCCTTTCCTCATTAGACTAAAGCATCATTCATGAAGACATACGCCATCATGTCAAGGAGCTCGCCTACCTGATGGGGAAGTCCACCACTGTGTCCAGCTTGTCTCTCCAGCACCGGTTGTAGGAGAACCGCTTTAGATGAACTACCAGAATGCGCGGCAGCGACCACAAGTCAAACTTCTTTGTGGCCTGTTGGTGTTTCTTACATGTTGGACAATACCTGCATTGAAGAAAAAAAAAAGCGTATTTATAAAAAGACAAAGGGCAGAGACATCGGGATGGTGGGGGGAGGGGGGAGTTGACATGCACACTCACCATGGGTCGTGTTCTCCAAGTGTCTCCATCGTGGTGAAGAGCTCGGTGCATTCCCTCAGAGCCACGGTGGCTTTCTTCTTCTGGGCCTGGAGCATGCTCTCGTGCTTCTCATAGGCCTGCACACAACACACGCACACAAACATCAACAGGCTTCTCGCACATCCTGTCACAGGATTCTTCTGCTGAGTTTCGACCTACTGACCTCCGCTTCCTGTTCGTCGTAGCACAGTTTCTTCGATGCCGCGTCCCAGTCGATCGCCACCGTGGAATGTGCTGCAGAGAGGGAGATGGGGCGCTTCGTCAACGCAAAGCAGCTTGGAAAAATCAATCGAAATCGAAAGTGTAAGTTATAAAGATTAGCACTGACGGTTAAGTTTGAGGAGATTTCCATCACAGGGCAGCGGGCTGATGTTTGCGGTCCCGTAAGAGTTGACGATGCTGAAACTGAAGAGTTTGGCTGGAGAGGAGCGCTGCTTAGACACGGCTCCTTTAGACCCAGCTTCCAAGTCTGAGGTCTCTTCTTCATCCTCTTCAGACTGACCATTTTCAGGCTCTGGACTCACCTGGTGGTCCATGGCCTCCTCCTCAGCTGAACAGACAACAATGAAATGTCATCACTTGATCACGGTTTCCCTTCTAACAACTTAAATTAGGTGAACGCTGGCTGATTACCGTCATATAACCCGTTGGTTTCGCGACAGGTGCCCGAGTGGTTGCTGCCGTTACTTGAGCTGGCACTGCACGAGGCCCCTTCTGATGGGGGGCTGCCACAGCCCCTCAGGCTGGCATTGACACCAGACGAGGTCGAGCATTCAGGAGCCTGGCTGCAGCTTGCAATGGTCGCCGAGGCTGAGGCCGACGCCGAGGGGGGCGCTGAGCTCGATGCTGAGGCCGATACGGAGGCTGAGGCCGATGCTGAGGCCGACGTTGAGGCCGATGCAGACGCTGAGGCCGTCGCCATGCTTTGACTGTTTGGGTTCTGGGATTGTTTGACATAGCGCCTGCAACAGGGTAATAGAAGAGATAAGTAAGCCACCAAACACATTCAGAAGTGCCGGCTGGTTTCCTTCTTTTTAATCCTGTGGGTCGGTTCCTTACCCAATCCTCTCGAGGATCTTGTCATAAAGAATGTCTGCTGTGAGGTTAAGTCTGGGCACGGTGACGAGTAAAGGCTGGCCAAACAACATAGTGCTCGAGGAACTTCCTGCATGCTTGGAGTGCCGCTCCCTGAAATAAACAGGCAGGTTCATCCTCTCGCTGTTCTCTTCCTGCACCTCGTACCTGCAAAGACCAACAACACACAAGTTACACACACACACAAGTTACACACACACACACACACACACACACGCGTGCTGCATTCTACCTGATGAACGCAGTATAGCACACGTAGCCTCATAAAGCACTGGACCACTGCCGGCAAGTCGTACGGCTCAGCTGGCTCAAAAGCCAAGATCGCAAGCACAGGGATGCTTTTTACTTCCAAATTGGCAGATTACCACAAGTTCCATGTTCTTTTATAGCTGCCTACGTCCCAGGCAGCTCACTGCGAGTGCCTGGTCAGCTAGCGACCCCTACAGGCGCTTTGAATACCACTACTGTATTAAACAGTGGCCACAGTGACTCATCTTTTAGTCAACAAAAATACTTACACAAAGATGTCATCTTTTTCCATGATTTGGTTTAGACCATCATCGCGTCTATAGACTTTGTGGAACCTATGATTGTAAACGTCAGCTACCACCATCTAAAGAGAGGAGCAAGTTGGCACATTTTATTTCCATTTCAACCCAAGACTGAAAATGTAATGCTGGAGGTATAAAAAGTAAAAAATGCGAACATTTTCTTGAGGGAATCCACAGAGTTTGGACAAGGCGGTGCACAGGTCTGTCACTGTTCCAAGTTTGGGAACCACCACTCGATACTGAAAGACAAAATAAATACAGAGATATTAAGATCCATGTCAGGGAACTCCTTGGTTAAATGCATGAGCTTCCAGAAACATCAACAGCAAGTACAAAGCAAACTCTGTAAAACTGGAACGCCAGAGTTAGTTAGTTGATATGAAGTATTAGTTCATTTGTAGGTGTTCAGAGTCCAGAGCTACAAGTCTTAATTCCACCTCACCTGTGTGGGTCTGGACTGAGGGTCTGATCGCACCAGGAACACTTCCATAGTCCGGTCCTTCTTCATGGGCAGAGGCAGTGTGAGGTAGCAGAACGGGTCAAAGGTCACGGACACCATGGAGCACTCCGGGCACACCAAAGTGGATTTGAAGAGGCCGTGGAAAATATCAACTATAATCGAGTCATTGCGCAAGCGGTGGTTCGTCCAGGCTTCTTTTGCAACAATCTGTAATCCACACAAATAATTGGAAAACAATGTCATTGGACTCCACTTTAAAGCCTCAGAAATTAAGTATATGCTCCTTGATAAAAAAAATAAAAACATATGCTATATGTAGCCATACTCTTAAATTCAAAGCCAATTTCATGAATCAAAACACAGGAACGCCAAAAATAATATATAGAGTAAATATAAAGTTGTTGGATCACAATGAGTGGTTGTGGTTTTTATTAGTTTCCTTTGTGCTTTTCGATTTCTGCGTACGCGCCATACCTCGTCTGCACGACCCTCTGCATCCCTTAGGGCCAGATAAGGCTTCTTCTTGACACGGTTGAGATCTTCATGGAGCCCGTCGAGCAGGAAGGCCAACAGCTCTTGGGAGTCCTGCTGCTGGTAGCCTGAAAACTGGGGGGCAAAACGTCCGACCTGGGTCTGGAGGAGAGTGGGGGGGGGCACTTAGTTTGTACCTTTAAGATTAGGAATAGATATTGAATAAGTTAAAGATTCGCTTCAGAGGAAGTTGCTTCAACACGACTCACTTTGAAGGTACGCGGGGCCACGTAGCTGCTTCGGCTCAGCCACATCTGCTTGACTAGGTCCGCGTAGGCCTCTGCGATCTCCCCCCTCATGCCCAGGGGGTTCTCTCGGTTAATCTCAGCCTCATACTGGTCATTGAGGAAGTATTCTGTGAGTGGAGATGCATTGCTCAGGCACTGGAAGAAGAGGAAATAGGAAAGAGGAAATGTGCACATGAAACCTCCCAGAAAATGGCAACAGACTTTCTCGGAATGAACATACAATTTGGCGCCTTATTTTTTGGATGTATTTTTTACCTGAAGGGCAGAGTTCATGAAGCATGTGTTGCCCAAATTACTGAGACCACACAGTCCAGGCTGTGACTGGGACTCTCTGTAGTTGTAGGAGGAGCTGTATGAATTGTAGCCCCCCAATCTGTGTGAAGGGCAGACGCACATGTTGAAACACAACATTCACCACCACCCCAAGCGGATTCGCTGCCGCTCCAAAAAGGTCTCAACGGTTTCATTTTCTACATAGCGACAGTTATTTAAGGTTACCTTTCGTATACAAACAGGTCTATACCTTGTTCTTTTATTAAACAAACATACACAGCTTATTTACATGCCTACATGCATTTCTGTATCTACATGCCCCCCGGTGCGCACACACAGGTGAGCACACTCCAGCCTCGATGTCCGACCCCCATTCCACACACGACGATGGGATGAATAGACAACACTTGCCTGTTACCGGAGGATGTGCTGTTGTTAAGCGTGTAGCTGGGGCTACAGCTGCTGTCTCCATTGGTTACTGTTGAGGAGATACTGGCTGTTGAGTTGGAGGAGAGTTTTGGGGAGGTAGTGAAATTCCTGGATGGGGTGGTACTGGATCTGATGAGCGGGAGCGAGACAGTTTAACATTTGTCCAAAAACGGACTGCCTACCTTCAATGTTTGGATTTATATACTTGATGCATGAATGAAGTTATATAAAGCTATTTAATAGGATACACTTCATATTCTTTGAGGTTTTTACTAGATGACATGCTTACTTGGGATGGGAGGCTTGTCTGGGCCACGTGCCATCCTCGTTCTTCCGCTCAATCACAAGCACCTGCGGGAAAACAAGCTGGTTGAGAGACCAGCTGGCAAAACTGACCTTCGTGTCAGAGCTATCATGTCTCCGGCTTTAATTTAATACCAAAGTGGGTCCAGTGCTGCCACTTTGAGCAGCAGTACTTACACTTACTTCAGCACTTACTTCAATGTGTCAGGAAATGCTGTTCTTTAGCTTTAAAGTTTTAGTCAAATAGCTTCTGTGATGAATTGTCTTTCACGTTGCAACTTGAGAGTGTACTGTACATGAGAATGTGCACAGTAGCAAACACTTTGTCATTTATTGTGCTTCAATAGAAACAGTATTGAAGAGTAAAACTGTTGAAAGAGCATTTTGTTGATGGGAATGTCAGAGCTATTAGCTTATCTCCACAGTAACATCCGATATACCGCATAGTTTGGAGTGTGAATTGGACAGTGTTACATGTTAAGATGGAATCTTCTTCCAGCCCCACTTTATCTTATGGGAACACATAATATTCGTACTACCTTTCATTACCGTTCTGATACAAAACCCTCAACAACTTCAGCATCAGAAAATACCAGACAGCTGAAGCGGAATCTGCCTCGCTGACGAGAACGAGACTCACTCAGTCCAACCATAACAATATTGATCTTCTAGCAGGGCTAATGTATTGTAATAGACTCCTTCGGTTCGTGTTATTCTGTGCCAGGTCTGTAAATGAATTATGTATGCACAGTGAGTACGGGTACGCTACTGGGCTGTGGTGTTCTTCAAAAGAAATTACAAACTGAGTCCATCGGTGTTGTGAAGGTTGTTTGAATAACTCTGCTCTTCCTACCTGCCCCTGGAAGAGACCAGCATCCTGCACAGTGCTGTCGGGCTTGTTCAGCTGCTCATAGGTGTTGCTCATGTATTTGTTCCACAGCCGTGTCTCCTTCTCCGATGGGATATTGAACAGTGTTCTCATCTCCTTCTCTATAGTGTCTGAAAATAATTAATTTGTAAGGTTTTATACAAATCTAGCTGAAACACAAAAGATTACTTGGCCTTTTCACACATTTCATGACCACGTATAATTCTGGTGTGTAGGAGGACAATCCGTCTTGTTCAGTTGAATACATAGAAACTCATGCTGGCCCTCACCTATAGTATCAGCTTTACTGAAATGACGCGTGACAACATTGTCCATGTTGTCATTCTCACACAAGTTCAGCTCCAGCAAATAGACCTCCACCTTACAGTGCTTGACAAACATGCCATGTTCCACAACCTGGAACAGAAAGAAGACGTTTAAGAACCCCGAGCCACAAGTGAATGGTCAGGTAAACAAATAATCCTCAACGACATTACCTTTCGGACGATGGGTTTCTGGCCCTCAAGACATCCGTACCAGCTGACCAGCTTTTTCCAAGCGTCAGTGGGGACAAGGACATAGTCCAGCTCATCGATAAGGTGCTCCTTCAGGGCCTGAGTCTCCTGGTCTTTAAAGAGACAATAACAACATTATGATTGCAAGCTTTCAGGTTCTGTTAATGTCTTTCAACATCAGACAAATCAAAGCCCAATATACATTTGTTTGCAGAGGAAGGTTTTACCAGAGAAAAGCCCGGAGTTATCAATTGGTCCTGGATACAGGCTATGTTCTCCAACATTGTACATGTCCCAGCTGTCAAATCCAACGTACTTCTTCCATTGTTTGAACCACCGGCTGTCGATTAGATACCTAAAAAGAAAGAGAAATGTTAGCAACATGTAATAACAAACGGGGGAACATGATCCTTTCTTCTAGACCTGTAACCCCTGAACTCCATGAAGCAATTTCAGTCAGCTGGTATGTTGATGATGTCCAGCAAGGACAGGAGCGGATGAAATAGTGATACACGGGACATATGTTAGCGTTAGGGTGACAATGATGAAACACCAAACTGCCATGACATTTGCAGATATTGTAACAGCTGTTTAATGTGACTTAATCTCCTCAAGAAAATCCCCTACAGTTAATATACTTGTTGAACATTCACATTATACAACGTTAGGGTCATAGGGTCGAACAACCTGTTTTGTACGGCTGTCAGTGAAAAGGGAGGCTTCAAATCGGTCTCGGCCAAAGAGAGGTGTATGCTCTTTGCCCTTTAACTTCCCCGAGCTGTTCAGCAGCGTAAACAAATCTCCCTTTTCAGCTCGAACGCCACGGGATAGTGGTCCACTTCTATTCCATGACGCTGCAGTATCATCAAACACTGGGAAAGGCATTCACTGACTTTCAACAACTAACTTGGCTACATGATCGTGTTGTTAGCTCGGTAGCTAGTTGGGGCATTCGGAGGCGCGTTCTGCCCTCGCTGCCCGTATCTACAGAAGGCTATTCCACACTTGCTCATCTCATCTCTCTGTGGAGAAAAATAGAGACTGAGAGTTTTTTTCAGGTTGTGAAAACCTCTTTATTACAACCGGCTGTATTGAGCACAGGCCTTGGGCAATCTTTAAGATATGAAACATTGTTAGCCAACACCGGAAGCTACAGTTCGGAAAGCTGAGAGACAACTTCACCTGGTAAATCAGCACAAGCAGGTGACGTTAAAGACTCGCGAAATAATCCTTTCAATGGGCCCACTCCCTAGCGGTACTTATACAACAACGAGCCGGTGTGACCGGCCGGTAAACTCACCATCTGAATCCAGGGCCTATTCTACCAGCCGACAAGCTATATCAGCCAACGTCATTTAGCTTTAAGTTGTCACAAAACCTACGACAATATTTACAAATGGTCCATATGGTACAGTTAGCTTCGTTGTTCTCAACCGGCATTTATCCCTAGTGGGTTAACTTGATAAATGTTTGCTGGACTAAATATCGGTAGCACAGCAGCTTTCGATTTCAGTCTCGCAACCATCGGTTCTGTTAGCATGGTAGCTTTAGTACGATAGCATACGCTGCTTCTCGCTAGCTGACGTTAGCTAGTTAGCTAACTAGCTAACGCGAGCTGAAACACAGAGATTACTTGGCCTTTTCGCGAGTCTTACCAGTCGTCACCCTTTCTTAAAGTAGTCTTCAATAGTGACCCAATAGTCTGCTTTTGCTTTTCGGTTGAAGGGGTTGGCATTTGTGCGGCTACCGGCTCGGAGTCGGTGTCTGCCGCGCCACCCGGCTCGGGTCCGCCTCCTTCGGCCATCATTTAGCGAGTGTGCCGGTCTCGTGAACGCGCGAATGGAAGAGGCGCAAACTCAGCGTGAGTGAGCTTGAGAACTCTGCTCTCCGGCAAACGTTCTTCCTCTACGGTCCGTGAGGTCACACACCGGAAGGGCTCGGCTGTAGCACCCCGGTGTGACTGCACTGGCATCACCGCACCAGTCAGTCAGTCAGAGAGTAGTCAAGTGTGTTCAATAATCATCTTGGTATTATGGCATCAAAGCAGCTTTTTTGGGGGGGGGTCAACAGTCCTCCGCATGCAGTTGTATGTTCTCTGTTGTATAGACTAGTGAATGGCTGACATGTTTCATTTTACGTTACGTTTGTTTGCCTCAAAAGAAAAGACATGTTATTTGTCAAAACAGGCTTTATGCTGTACAAAACACAGAGGGGTTACGTTACAAAATAAACAATCTACATACACGCAAACATTCTCTGCCAACAGCTTAGCACTTTTTTTTCCAGCTTTAGGCAGCTGACACAGAACAGCTGATCCATGGTGCTCTAACAAAGGAGTCATTAAAGATTGTTAAAAGTATTATAAAATAATTGTCTGTTAAACATGACACATTGAACATTGGAAATTGAAACAGCTATTCTAGCTGTACATGACACAATTAAAAAAGAAGCAGTAGGTAGTTCACATTCTATTACCTATTGGTATGATGGCATACAGTTACAAGCTAATAATGCATTCCAAAAAACAACTTAATATCTCAGTCTCTATGTCTCAAATCAGGTGGAGCAGCAACATAACCAGTGTTTTATTGAGTCCTTTCAGACAGGATTTGATAGGTAATAATAATAACAATAATACATGTGAAAAGAGGACAACAAATGAGTGAATGTAAACTTTGCATAACATGAAGGGATTTGTCCCACCTCTGGGGCTCTAACCAAAAATAAATCCCTGCATTGATCAGAAATTAAAATCAAAAGGCTCCAAGTAGAATTGAACAGGCCATTAGAAGATGCCACTTGGCAGCTCTTTGCTGAACATGCCATCAAAGTCCAGCTCTCTGCTCATCAGATCGTCCTCTACACTCTCCAGCGCCCACTGATGGTCTGTCAGTTCCAGCGCCTCCCACTCAGCCTGAAACCAAGGACAGACGTCACATGAACAATCGAGCAAAGCACCACCACATTAATTAGCGATGCTGAAGCTACTGCGCTATAAACCTTGAAAGCTTTATTTGTATCTGCAGGCATGGCCATGGCTGCCCCACTCATCTGCTCCTGCATGATCCTCGACTGATCGGCACCTGTCGGGATTCAAAAACACATTTTGTAAAGACTACTGACTCAGCTCAGATGGTGTGTATTAAAATGAAACATTGTTGTAAATCAAATAACTTCTTCTCGTGTGACATGGTTGCTATTACATTTGAAAAGTAGAATTGGCATTTTCACTGTATCAAACAATCTGACAACATTCAAAAATCTTAAAATGAGCAAACATTACCATTATCTTGGCCTAGAATTAAGGAGTACATGCTTCGTAGTCCAAACACATTGAGGAAATACCATGACGCCGAGCTCACCCTGGATGATAAAAGCACATACAGACAGAACAAATAACAAGAGAGTCACACTTTCTTTTCAGTTGAAGGGGTTGGTCATTGGAGAAGGCAGAACAACCTTTCTCGTGAGCATTTTGAGATACAGAGGCAACGACTGATAAAGTACATCTCTATAGGTCTTGTTTTATCGGTTTACCAGGAAGCATCCAGTGAAAGCAGCTCTATTCCTTGCTGTAGCATGGGTTTGAAGCGCAGAGTGAGAGGGAAGGGAACCTTAGCTGTGTGAAACAGTGTAAAGAAAGAACTCAATACAAGATTCCAGTTTAAATAGTTGTATTTTGTGAATGTCACATTCTGCCCCACAGGCTTCCGGATCTGAGTGACCGACTTACTTGTTACAAATCCTGAAAAGGTCCAGTTGATCCAGCCTCCGATAAGGATCATGGGAAGAACATTGGTGACATTTCCTTTCATCATGTCCGTCAGCATGCTGGGATCTGTGAAAAGATAAGAGTGCAACAAAATGCATTCAATTAACTTTTTGTTATCTAAATATCTTTTACATGAGAGTTAAATTGTTAAGTGACATACATATTTAAATTAACTTATTTCTAATATAATATATATATATATATATAGTTGTAAATAATTGATTACCAGTCATTGGAGAAGGCGGAACAACCTTTCTCTTGGTCTTCTTGAAAAATCCATCTTCTTGATTATTGAAGTAGAACTTCCTCATCAAAAAAGACTAAAACAAGGAGATATTTCTTAACATTTCCCTTCTCAACGTGGTTGTGACAAATAAATGCAAATGCCAGTGGTTTTGTGATGAGTAATTTCATATATATTAGACAACATGAACGTGTTGGAGATGGATGATTTAATGTGCTACCTGTTTGGGGATGTACTTTCCATTTTCTCTGAGGATCCGGCTTCGAATAAGAACCTGGCTGGTTTGGGAAGAAAAAAAAATAAATATATATATATATATATATATATATATATATATATATATATATATATATTTATATATTTTATATATTCTTCTATTAAAGTTGACTTACCTGTCAGAGACCTGTTCTAACGTCAACTTCTTGTCACTTTGAAGAAGGATGGACACATAATGCCTTATCACCCCGACAAGAAAGGTGATGAAGACGATAGGTAACACCACCCAAAGTCGAATGTTAGAGTCCAACAGAAGCTCCGGCTCAGCCATTCAGCCTGGTAGTTTAACTGAGGAATTAAACAAGTTAATTACTTGCAATACAAAGCAGGCACGAAGACAGATGTCCTATGAGGCTCCATTATCGGAGTACACTTCTAACTCATATAAGGCCTTTTGTTTATTGAGATAGTTTACCAAAATGACTGCATTTTGGATGCAACTTAACGACGTCAGACTCCGATTAAGCCCCCACGGTGGGAAGAGCCGTCAGCTCATTTAGCTCGCAGGCTAGCTAGCTTAGTAGCAAGCGTCACAATAGCCAGCGTCATTAACGTGCCGCGACACATTGTTTACGTGATCGAGCTAACGAGCAAACGTTAAACCACCGAGTCCACGTTCCGCTTTAAATATCAGATACACTGTTGTTTATTGAAACAGTGGCAATAATCAATGAAATCTACCAGCGATTAATACGGCGGACGCTAATGTTGCGCTAATGGTAACGTTAGCTACCTTCCTCCTGGTGTCCGGGGGTCACCGTTTCGTGGGAGCTGACGAGTCGTCCGAGCGCAGTGGCGAACGTTTGTAGTGTTTTGACCCTACCTGCGAGGGACGCTTTGTGAGGTAGTTCAAAAATAATTTAACAACATTTAACAGTTCCTATCCACGGCTGGGGCCATCGCGCGATGGTGTTAAGGGATGGGAGCCAACTGTCAATGGATGAGATTTCTGCTTCTGCGGCTCATACGCGCCCAACGCGGCCTGCAGCGCCTCCTCGTGGTGATGGGGGGGACTGGCCAGTCTGTCAGTGATGTCAGCCTTCGGTCTAACTGCAGTGGTCGAATCATTCTCTGTAACTTATGTAAGGGTAGGATAATTGCATAATAACAGCAACAAGTAAAACTCATATGCTCCAAAAAGTACAAAACAGTTGGCCCCCATCACGAGGAACCTATTTCAGAACCATTTATATTATATATTTCGGTATTATATCCATTGATCTACATTACTTTAGTGCTGCAGCTAATGGTGGTGGATCAACTAATTTACTTTAGGTACTGTTATGAATTTGTAAATGTATCTAGAAGACCAATTCAGTCGTTTTAGTATATTTCATATTAATCTTAACCTGCAAAGTACCCAACAAAAGGTTTTGCATTCTTGTAATGAATTACTATGTACATCATTTATTTTTCAACTGAGTTGTGGTAGAAATGGCAGAAAATGGAAATACAACATTTAAATAAAAGTGACTCACGTGATTAAATGTCATTAGTTACTTTCCATTATTCAACAGCAGACGATGAGTATGAGGTGAGATATTGAATTCAAACAGTTTTTTAAATTGGCTCCGAAATTTTAAAAACAGCAAAAGCTTAACCATTTCTTTTGAGGTCATCACAAGTCTATTGTATATTGCATTGAATTGAACAGAACAATATTAGAGTCCAATTGATGCACATCGGATGTAACAAGACCTTTGTCGATTTAAACAACACTTAAAGGGCTCTAATATTAGTAACATATCAATAATAATAAATGTAAATGTAAATCAAACCGATTTTTTGAAAGAACAGTAGATTTCTTGATTGGTTGATACAGTATCATTTCCACAGGAACTGAGGTCAGTCTTCGCTTTTTCCTTTCGCTCGCTCTTTGTCTTCCTGACCACCGGTTGGCGCTGTAACGCAATTGATCGCCCTGATTTTCGCCCTTATATAGAGAAGAAGACTGCTGACCAGAAATTGAAAGAAAACTAGCTAGAAACCAATATTGCAAACTACCAGATAAAACGTTAGCAGTCCGTGTTACTAATACGGTAGGTAACATTAGCTTTTATTGTCTTCTATATGACCTATGTAATGTCAAGACACTTGTGGTATAAAACGTCAAAGCTAACGTCAACCGCGGGTGGCTAACGCTAGCTACACCGGCCCGCTAACGCCTTAGCATGCTAATGTCTCAGCGGAGGCCCGGGTCAGCAGGCCGACCAGTGGACCGGTCCTATGGAAGCTGTCACTCGCTCCAAAAACAGGCCCTTTGTGTCCGTGGCACTGGAGTGCATTGGGGAAAAATCAGCATTTTAGCTAACGTTTCATACATTTTTTTATTTATTTTTCTACAGTTTCGTGATCAAACATTAAACCATGGGTGCCGATAAAAGGTAAACTGGACATTCTAACTACAATACGGAAGTTGCCGACGTTGCAGATATTTGCACTGACACTCCCTTTACTTTTCCAGGATCGGCCGGGGCGAACGCAGTGGAAGATACGGTTCGGAGGGGAGGAGAGAAGATCTGGAATGGCATGAAAGACGGAGCCGAGACGTGGAGAGGGATCATGACGGAGAATGGGGTGATGACAGACACCGAGAACGCTTTGATGAGCGCAGAGACAGTCCAGAAGTGAGCGAAGGAGACCGCATTTGTCAGAACAAGTTACTTGCACACACGTGACAGAGAGATGACAAACATAAAGTCGTCATAACAGTGTCGTTTAATTTCTTCGACAGCAGCATAGAGGGCGAAAACGGCGCTACAGCGACCGATCTGATGATGAATACGACGGGGATTATCCAGATCAGGACTATAAAAAGGAGCAGGAGGAAGACGAGGAGGAGGAGGAGGAGGAGGAAGAAGAGAGCAAGACTATTATGCTGAGGGGTCTCTCTCTCCATGTCACAGAGGACGATGTAAGCCCACAAGCCTCACTGATTGTTGTTTTTTCAAGGGCAAAGTCACACCAGGCGTGACGTGGTGGGTGTAGCTGCTGCCTTCCCCTGGTTATATTTTTCCGTGAAGGAACAGTAGACTCCTTGTAAATCGTGTGAAGTTATTAGAAACTGGAGAGGTAAATCTGTAAACTGATCTGGAGTGGATTTTAAGTCCTGGTGCAGAAATCAGTCACACCTGAGATCCTATCAGGAATATAAACAAATGTAAATAATATGTAAAAGAATCGTTCTTGAAGAGAAAGGAAGGTTTTTCTTTAACTTTAACTAACTAACTAACTGCTCCAACTCCCCAGATCCGCACAGCACTCGAGCAACTGCGGGGGCCCCAGCCTGTGGACATTCGCTTGATGAAGAAAAGGACAGGTGAGTGTCGAGTGTCTCACTTTCTCCTTCACGCACTGTCTCAAACTCACATAACCTTTTTTATTGCAATTCACGAGAAACCCCGACAGTCATAATACAACGCGGGGGATCCGTGGTGTCACATAGATTGTCTGGTGTTCTTTATTGCCAGGCAAGGAGGTAACTGTATGTACTTTCCACTACCATTCTTTTGTACATACATGAAGTGTTATGGTAAAGAAAATCTTACCCCGTCCCTATGATCTTGTAAGCTCCCTTCCCACATCCTTTTTGATAATAATTGGAGTGTACAAGCCCATTGTGAGTTTGAATGTTGCCCCAAAGCATTCTAACTAACACGCCTCCCGTCTATATTTGAATGCTGTCTCTAGGTATAAGCCGAGGTTTCGCCTTCGTGGAGTTTTATCACTTGCAAGACTCTACCCGATGGATGGAGACCAATCAGGTTGCCTCAACAATCACCAAGTTTCGAGTTATTCTTGGAGATTTGAGTCCCAATTAACCGATACATGACTGATCATTGAGTGCCTGGCCTACTTGCAGTAGACAGATCTTACAAACTGTGTTACGTCCAATATCAGACGTAAATATGTTCAAAACCACCCACTTGGTTGGTGGATTTATCTTAAGCTGAAGGTGTTTAAAAAGAACAGACAGTGGTTCCGTAGCACATTCTGCTCCAGCTCAGTCACTTGGGTATTTTCTCGTCTCCATTTAAAATCCGAAGACTGGAGTGAGACCTGGACGAGCTGGCAGCACTCCGTTCCCAAACACTTCCCTCGTACACAGAACTGCAGCTTCCTCTCTAAACTTCTCTCTCTGCCTCTGTTCCCTTTTACTCCCTGAGACACTCCACCTATGCAGCTACGAGTGTAACCCTATCCACTCTTTCCCGTTCCAGCTGCTCTCCCTCGGAATTTGAAATAAGTGTCGGCTTTTGACTTTGCAGAACAAGTTGGTGATCCAGGGGAAGAGCGTTGCGCTGCACTTCAGCAACAGGAGACAGAGGTTTGAAAACTGGCTGTGCAATGCAGTGAGTACAACCTCACGCGTCTTTGTCCAAGCACATCGTAGTTATTGCACGGTTGTTCAAGAAAATAAGAGAAAAGAGAAGAGTTCTATCGTCTGTGTTTAGAAACCCAGCCAAATATTTGAACTGAAATGTTGCCCGTGGCAACCATATTCGCTGCTTTTAAAGTTCAACAGCATGGCTGTTATTGCCAAATGTAGCCTGTAGTAATATCTACAAAATAGCTGTTTGATTAAACTGTTCTTTGTGGTACTTTTTTATTTTTGTTAAGCGACTTTTAATGCAGATTTATTTTTTCTCAAAAAGACTACAACATTGTCCTTGGTTTATCACAGTGTGGCCTGTACAATTTCCGGAAGAGGCTAAAGTGTTTCAGGTGTGGAGCTGCCAAAGTTGGTGAGTTCAGCGGCATACGCATCATGTGTCCTTTTCTTCTTCTCTGTAAGTAACTTCCACCGTGACTGACGTTCACCTTTGTGTCGCCCCACCGTGTCTTTGCCGAGTGAAGACGGGGAGTCACCAGGGCGGAGCGGTTTAAATGCCGAGTCTCAGCAGCCAGGAGATTACGATGGAGACAGTAAGCGACCTTTTCAGCACATATCAAAAACCCCACATGTTCTCCCAGTAATCATGTTCTACATTCATTTGTGGACCCTTTTTTGTTTTCTTTGTTTTTATAGCAATAATTCTTAGAAACATTGCCCCCCTTTCCTCCGTGGAAGGAATTTTGAAGATTTTGGCACCGTATGCCAACCTGTCGGCGAGCAACATCCGCCTCATCAAAGACAAGCAGACGGGCCAGAACAGAGGCTTTGCCTTTGTTCAGCTCTCATCTCCCCTGGTGGGTTACTTCTCTAGCCAGTGTTTTCGTAAAATGGGTCAGTATGTTTCCTCTGGGGGTCGACACACATCGGGCATTTTTGCATCCTCCATGGCTTTTTTTTTTTTTTTTTTAGGAGGCTTCTCAGCTGCTCACCATTCTCCAGAGCCTTCAGCCACCTCTAAAACTGGACGGAAAAACAATCGGTGTGGATTATGCCAAGAGCGCGAGGAAGTGAGTAATCACACGCCCACACGCAAACAGACACACACACATATGGTTTGATTCAGCTCTCTATTATTAGAAAATAGCCCATATAAGCCGTTTTGTGTCTGAATTTTTAAATTCACATTTTTAATCCCACTTTACTGGAGGGAGCTTATTTGACTCTGCGGTAATTCAGATGCAAGTGAAGTAGGAGCAAATTAACGACTCTTTTTCATTCCCGCTTGTGATGCAAACTTTCGTTCTGACTAATTGCTCGGTGTTCTTTCCAGAGACTCCAACCAGTCCGATGGGATCAGAGGAAGTGCGCTGTCTGTGGCCAGCACAGCCATTGCCGCCGCTCAGTGGTCATCCAGCCAGGTGGCGTTTTGTGCTTCTTGTTAGTTTGTCACACCTTGAATTGCCTGTACTTTGTATTGTTTAAGTAAGAAGGACAAAACTTGGGGCCTGAACCGCTTAATAAAAGTACAAGTGTTCCCCAGACAGCTGGGCGAAAAACTTTGTGAGTGAGGGAGTTTGGTCGTCTGGAGTATTTGATTGTTTATTAAAAAGATATTATTTAGTGGA